GAGTTTTCGATATCGAAAGTTTGAAAGTTCTTGATTGTCTTACAGGACAGTTTGTACTGAAAAAATATTTCAACCAACTTGACGAGCCTGACCAGCAGACGACCAAAGCCTTCACGTCTGACGGCTGGTTCAACATGGATGACTATGGCTGTCTGGACGAGAACGGTCGTCTGTTTGTCGTCGGTAGGAATAATGACGTCATCATGTACGGGGCTTTTGTGGTCTATCCTGGGTGGATCGAAAAGAAAATTCTAGAACACCCTGAGATCCATTTTGTGTATGTGGTGCCGGTAAGAAAACCATCTGGATTAATAAACAGTTTACCAGCATTTGTTTACAGTGAAACTGTATTTATTGGGAGCTAGCCTGTATATGTTTACTGAGTTGTTTTGAAATATATAAATAAACGAAGTTCTCCATGGATCAGACAAAGTTTTAAAAAAAAACCGCTATAATTTCAGAATAATCGAATATTGATTCAGTCTATCTGGAGAACAACCAAAGATCACACGTCTTGATTTTCCCAATGTTTCAGGTATCTGATCCTGAGTTGTATCATAGGATCTGCGCATGCGTAAAATTGTCAGCCGGAAGCCAGCTTACAATAGAAGATGTGAAGCGATATATTGACAGTTTATTCTCGACTTCGACTACACAAAGAGAAGTTACACCAGTTCCAGACTTTATAATGGTAATGATTTAACAACATTAACATTTAATGGTAAATATTCCAGTTAGTTACAATACAAACAAAGTAGGGTAAAGAGAGGAGGGGGGATTTTTTATTTCTACACATGTTTACCTTTTAGTTTAGATTTATTTAATTGAGGTGAACTCTGGTCAGATTAAGACTGATTAAGATAAACGAATGAATGAATTAAATGTATCAAATTAAATCGATCTACGTAATAGCAATTAATGTAAATTCCTGAAATAAATTTTCAGCTGTTGAAAGATTTCCCTGTGACCAACACGGGGAAACCCAGCAGAAGAGAGATCAGACAAATGGCTGAGGAGAAATTTGGGAACAAATCTTAGAGAGATCAGACAAATGGCTGAGGAGAAATTTGGGAACAAATCTTAGTGCAGGCATGGCTACAGAAGAGAGATCAGACAAATTGCTGAGGAGAAATTTGGGAACAAATCTTAGTGCAGGCATGGCTACGTGGGTGGGTGGTACATGGGATAATAACAGGACTCAATCATGCAATGTAACAAGGAAAAAACGAAACACATTACTGTCTGTAAGCCAAAGTATGCTTTGGATAGATAGGTAGTCAATAGTTCCGACGATTAAAAAGTTATAAAAACAAAAAAAGTTGTTTTGTTATATATAATGAAAAAAAGTTTTGCAACTGTACAATCCTAGGTGTAGACAATTTTACTTGGATTTCGATGAAGCTGATGAAGTAGAGCTTACCTGTTTCTTTGACCTCGACAAATGAAGAGTAAGTGTGGTCAGCACTATGCCCAGCCAGCTATGCCTTCTTTAAAGTGATTCAGACCCATTAACTTGAGTACTATTTCAGAAACAAAAATGAAATTTCACAAGTAAGTAAAAGATCTAATTCTCTACCTTCTGTCAAATTTTGAGTAATTTCCGTTGACCGGACGTACTAATGTACGCTATTTCCGATTTCTCAAAAAACGCATGTAAATTTTTAAAGTACTAATAATATTGCGCATTATTATGAACATCTTTATTTGGCGTTCGCTTGGTGCGCAATTCTTTTTTCTATGAGATTCTATTCTATTTTTAAAAGTTTAAGTATTTAAAATGGAGTTCCCATCCCCTGTTGTTTTATAAAAGAATATTCGAGAAAGTTTAGGGGAGATCACTCCCGATTTATTTCTCTTACGTTCGGTGGGAGCGGTGGTGGTACTTCGGTGTGTCTCCCCCCCCCCCCCCTTCCCCCCCACCCACCGATCCTCGGAGAGATGCCTGAAAGAAACGCTGATTGTAACCCAATTTTTCCCTTTATTCAGTTTTTAATTCTTATAAATGCCTTTGACCTTGAGAGAATCTTTTTTTGTTAACTAGAACTTATAGATTCAAAAGTGAAAACGCAGAAAGTTTTAGTGGCGGAAAAATAGATTTCAGCTAAAAACAATAACAAAACACTAAATGTTAAATTACTGCAATGTTCTTCAACAATGTATGTGCACTTCGTTCTCAGCCTTTGTTTTAAACCTGTGGCAGGAGAAGAGCTGGGTCCGTCGCAGGATCATCGACTACCTCAACACACTGATCGGCTTCGGCGTGGCCAGGTTCAGGGTGGACTCGGTTAAACACATGTGGCCAGGTTCAGGGTGGACTCGGTTAAACACATGTGGCCAGGTTCAGGGTGGACACGGCTAAACACATGTGGCCGTCAGGGTGGACTCGGCTAAACACATGTGGCCAGGTTCAGGGTGGACACGGCTAAACACATGTGGCCGTCAGGGTGGACTCGGCTAAACACATGTGGCCAGGTTCAGGGTGGACTCGGTTAAACACATGTGGCCAGGTTCAGGGTGGACTCGGCTAAACACATGTGGCCAGGTTCATGGTGGACACGGCTAAACACATGTGGCCGTCAGGGTGGACTCGGCTAAACACATGTGGCCGGGTTCAGGGTGGACACGGCTAAACACATGTGGCCGTCAGGGTGGACTCGGCTAAACACATGTGGCCAGGTTCAGGGTGGACTCGGTTAAACACATGTGGCCAGGTTCAGGGTGGACTCGGCTAAACACATGTGGCCAGGTTCATGGTGGACACGGCTAAACACATGTGGCCGTCAGGGTGGACTCGGCTAAACACATGTGGCCGGGTTCAGGGTAGACACGGCTAAACACATGTGGCCGTCAGGGTGGACTCGGCTAAACACATGTGGCCAGGTTCATGGTGGACTCGGCTAAACACATGTGGCCGTCAGGGTGGACACGGCTAAACACATGTGGCCGTCAGGGTGGACTCGGCTAAACACATGTGGCCAGGTACAGGGTGGACTCGGCTAAACACATGTGGCCGTCAGGGTGGACTCGGCTAAACACATGTGGCCGGGTTCAGGGTGGACACGGCTAAACACATGTGGCCGTCAGGGTGGACTCGGTTAAACACATGTGGCCAGGTTCAGGGTGGACTCGGCTAAACACATGTGGCCGTCAGGGTGGACACGGCTAAACACATGTTGCTAGGTTCAGGGTGGACTCGGCTAAACACATGTGGCCGTCAGGGTGGACTCGGCTAAACACATGTGGCCGTCAGGGTGGACTCGGCTAAACACATGTGGCCAGGTTCAGGGTGGACTCGGCTAAACACATGAGGCCGTCAGGGTGGACACAGCTAAACACATGTGGCTAGGTTCAGGGTGGACTCGGCTAAACACATGTGGCCAGGTTCAGGGTGGACTCGGCTAAACACATGTGGCCAGGTTCATGGTGGACTCGGCTAAACACATGTGGCCGTCAGGGTGGACTCGGCTAAACACATGTGGCCAGGTTCATGGTGGACTCGGCTAAACACATGTGGCCAGGTTCATGGTGGACTCGGCTAAACACATGTGGCCGTCAGGGTGGACTCGGCTAAACACATGTGGCCGTGTTCAGGGTGGACTCGGCTAAACACATGTGGCCAGGTTCATGGTGGACTCGGCTAAACACATGTGGCCGTCAGGGTGGACTAGGCTTAACACATGTGGCCGTCAGGGTGGACTCGGCTAAACACATGTGGCCAGGTACAGGGTGGACTCGGCTAAACACATGTAGCCAGGTTCAGGGTGGACTTGGCTAAACACATGTGGCCGGGTTCAGGGTGGACTCGGCTAAACACATGTGGCCAGGCTCAGGGTGGACTCGGCTAAACACATGTGGCCGTCAGGGTGGACTCGGCTAAACACATGTGGCCAGGTTCATGGTGGACTCGGCTAAACACATGTGGCCGTCAGGGTGGACTCGGCTAAACACATGTGGCCAGGTACAGGGTGGACTCGGCTAAACACATGTGGCCAGGTTCATGGTGGACTCGGCTAAACACATGTGGCCAGGTTCATGATGGACTCGGCTAAACACATGTGGCCAGGTTCATGGTGGACTCGGCTAAACACATGTGGCCGTCAGGGTGGACTCGGCTAAACACATGTGGCCAGGTTCAGGGTGGACTCGGCTAAACACATGTGGCCAGGTTCAGGGTGGACTCGGCTAAACACATGTGGCCGTCAGGGTGGACTCGGCTAAACACATGTGGCCAGGTTCAGGGTGGACTCGGCTAAACACATGTGGCCAGGTTCAGGGTGGACTCGGCTAAACACATGTGGCCGTCAGGGTGGACTCGGCTAAACACATGTGGCCAGGTACAGGGTGGACTCGGCTAAACACATGTGGCCAGGTTCAGGGTGGACTTGGCTAAACACATGTGGCCGGGTTCAGGGTGGACACGGCTAAACACATGTGGCCGTCAGGGTGGACTCGGCTAAACACATGTGGCCGTCAGGGTGGACTCGGCTAAACACATGTGGCCAGGCGATCTGAAGAAAATCGTCTCCAAGGTGAGTTACTTGCCCCTGACTCCGCTCTAATGTGTTGAGGCTGGGGTCATTATGTTACATGTGCGAGGTTGAAAAACCATGAGTTTACCTATCCACTGATCCTATCGGTCTCCTTAATAAAAATGTATCTAAAACTGCACCAGAAGTCCATTACAACTCGTTATCCAATATTGTCCTTCTCCATGTGAAAGGTTACCTCATTAGGACATCATACAATGATCTCCAGTGATCTAGTACATCACTTTTATGGCAACATACATATGTAAGGTTGTATAGTAAGAGGTTCTCCAGCTTTTCTCCAGCTGTTGACAGACCTGTGACACCCCACAGAGTTCAACTACGCCTACAAGAAAGATGGAGGGCGCCATGGACAGACTTGTGACACCCCACAGAGTTCAACTACGCCTACATGAAAGATGGAGGACGCCATGGACGACTTGAAGAAACTCCAGCAACTGGTGGGTGGCAGTGACATGACACCATCAGAAACTCCAGCAACTGGTGGGTGGCAGTGACATGACGCCATCAGACCACGCCCTCGTCTTTGTCGACAACCAAGACACACAGAGAGCTGGACATCTGCACTTCAATGTAAGTCAGTGCTAAGTCGGGGCTAAGTCGGTGCTAAGTCAGTGCTAAATCGGTGCTAAGTCGGTGCTAAGTCAGTGCTAAGTCGGTGCTAAGTCGGGGCTTCTACTATGTTCTTAATTAAGTATAAATGTCAACTGGTTATGCACCATTGAGGCTATTGACTTCGATTTAAGTCTGCTTTTCTTTGTGGATTTGCTTCCACAGCCTCGAGACTTTTCGGTTTAGCAACCATGGGGCATTATCTCAGTATAACATGTTAAGCACTTAATATGATGTGTTAAGTGCTGTAAGCGTTGTCTTGTTTGAGTTTTCTTTTTGTTAAGCTTCCAGTCCACACCCCAACCATCATAACTCTTGCCTGATTGTTTGATACAAACCAATAAATCATCTAACATTACTTGATCACCTAGAAAAATCTGTCCTTTATTTCTCCTCTCAGAGCCCCCTGCCCTATATGCAAGCGGTGGCCTTCACCTTCGCCTATGACTACGGACTTCCGGTTCTGACGAGCAGCTATTATTTCCTTGATGCCGAGACACCCCCTCCTCATGACGGTGACGTCATAAAGGACGTCATAATCAACAACGATGGGACCTTTGACAATGGTTGGGTGTGTGAACACAGGTAAAATGTGACAGGTAGCAAATGACATGTGACATGTAGCAGATATCAAGTGTCAGTAAGCAGGTCGTTTTTAGCTTGTAACAGTTGGCAGGTCACATGTATAAGGTGACAGGTTTAATAAGACATGTAGCAGGTGACGGATAGCTAGTGACAGGTAACAGGTCACATGTGTTAGTTCGCATTTGACAGTTGACACGTGACTATTAGCAGATAGCATACACAATCAGCTAGTGACTTTCTGTCTGAAACTTTACCAGCCGTATAGTTAAGTCTTAAACGACTTTACGAATGGTTTGTGTTTGAGATCTAAAAACAAAAACAGATGACGTAACACGAATTAACATCTGAAGACGGTTGTTCAGTTATGCACGGATCCAAGACTAATCTATATATATAATTCTCTTCTTGGATACCCTAGAAAACACCAAGCTGTAAGCGCGCCTAGCAGCCCCCTCTCTTCCTCTCTAGGCATATCGCTACAACCCCCACCCCCACATGGTCTTGTTAGCTGTGGTTCACGCTAAATGTGTACAATCGTAGAGCCGGGTTTAGTGACGGCTATTAGGGGCAGATAATTTAGTTTGAAACTATTTAACTGTTCATACCAGTTCACCATCATAATTCTATATATTGGTGTCTAACACAGAATGTATTTATAGAAGATGTTATACTCTATTTTTGTCATTAAAAAAACATGATCAGAAGTGAGTTACAAACCACCCACCAAAGAAAAAAACTTGTAACGAAAAAAATAAATCCTTTTCTTTTTTTTTCTTCAATTGAAGCTGTTTCAAGTGATTTGCCATGAAATACCTTCATCATACATAATGTAAAAAAAAACTTGAAAAGTTATTAGAAAATGTTTATTATTTGTATAAAAATAATCACATTTGTTGACATGTAAAAAAAAATTTGTTCAAGTTTGAAAAAAAACTTCGCACACACACAATATTCAAAGCAGTTACACAGAACAGTTCACTCCCATAGTTCTGTAACAGACAACACAGAAGTTAGAGCTGCCTTCTTGTTTGAGAAATTTGTTAAAATAATCTCTTTGACATTCTGCAGATTTGCTATAGTGTTTGGAGCAAAGTGACATGGTAAAATGCATGTCAAAGTATAAAGGTGGAGTATGTATTGACATTTTTCAGGGTCACAAAAACTTTTAATGTTTACAATCATGGATTTACAAATTAGAGAAACAAATAAAGTTAATTTTAAGGTTATAAATACAAAAATTCAAAATTAACCAAAATTAAATGTGTAGAAAATTTTAATACCTGAAAAAAAAATGGCACCTCAAATGAGTAAAAATATTTCAGTAAAAAAAAATGTATCAAATATATTTTACAGGAAAAAATAGCAGGAATAAAGATCACAGGATAACACAGAATTAAATATTTGTAAATCACGGAGTTTTCGGTTTTTGTAAAAAAAATGGTTGGGCAAGTTGAGAAAGTCAAATGTAAAAATATTTTGCTTCAGCAGATCCTATATAATTGATATAAAAGGGCAAGATTTAATTACTGCTTGAAATGTAGACAGAACATCCAGGAAACAAAAAATTTTCTAATTCCAACTTTGTATGTGAAAAGAATCAATCAGATAGTATTGTGTAACAAGACAAGTTTTTTCAACAAATAAAGCTTTGAAAAATCTCTTGAATATTCTGCAGATTTGTTATTGTTTTCAAATCCTATATATTGAAATCAAAATTGCAAGATTTAATCATTGCTTGAAATGTAAACAGACAATCCAGGAAACAAAATTTTCCTGTTTCAGTTCTGTCTGTAAAAAAAGATGTATCACTAGAAATGGACAAGAATTTTTTAAAACAAATAACCCTTTGATCTAATGAAAAAGTCCTGCCATGTATAATTTTCTACAGTTCAATTGAAATCCAGTCTATTGAAACAAAATTGTTGTACATAAATTTTACAAGTGAATCCTATATTAGAACAAACCTTATCTCATCTCTAGAAAGCAAAAGCGTTAGTAAAAACTGTAGCCAGTAGTAGAATCATAGGACCAAGATTTTACTTTAAGAACAACTTAAGTATGGCATCAAAATTGATAAATTTGATATATTCATACAAATATGTGTACATAAGTCTCATGGAAGATAGTCTATATTTGGATCAAAATTATTAGCATTTTAAAATACTTAAATTTTTTTTTAATAAAACTAATTTAAAAATCTGAACACCATTGTTTTTATACACACTTAGTAGTATTAGAAAGAAATATAGAATAGACATGAAGAGCCTTTAGCATTTAGCATGGATTCACTTTTTCTCCTCAGTTTTCTTGTTCTTCTCCCCACTGGAGCTGGAGCCTATGGCCAGAAACTTGCCTTCATTGCCTGTGGAACTCATCTCACTGGCCCCAACACTGCGAAACTTGTACATCATGTTGGCCATGTTGTCGTCCATTTCTGATGCTCGTTCCGAATGCATCTGTAGAGATATAGGAATTGAAAAATATTTATTTACAAATGCAATAATATTTAAAAGAAAAAACTTTTATAGAATCTACAAATGTTATATTTTTATTAATATCCATAAATGTCTAGGACATTACATCTCCCCAACTATTAATCACCCCTCCCCCAATCATTACGCCACTGTCAGTTGCTTATCTTGGTAACTATTGCCCCTTTTAGAATACATTTTATACCTTTTTCTATCCATCTCCAGATCAAGCACCCTATCCCTATTTCAATTCGTTTTATCCTCAAAACAATACCTATCCAAATCTCTACATGAACGAGGGTCATTGACATGGGGTAAATGTCCTACAGTGTGTTTTTGGACAGAACTTATAGACAAGGGTAGCTGATCTAAGAAGAGGGTAATGACCAAGGGGAGTAAATGAGAAGGGAGGTAAAATCCTGGTCCAATTAGTTTTAGACTTTTGATTGCTGACTAACAATGGCGCTCAGCTATAAAGTAAGAACACTGGTAGCAAGTGCCTTTACCTTTCTAAACTTGGAAGCAATGTAACCTTTGGTGTGTCTTTTAACAGGAGGAGGAATGTAGGAGTCACACATCACAGCATCTGATGAGGCTTCATCATCACCATCTTCATTCTCACTGTGTTCACTGTCACTCCGTGTGCGACCAAATAAGTCTATTTCACGCTGGAACAGTAAACAAACAAATCTATTGCATGATGGGACAGTAAACAAACAAATCTATTTCATGCTGGAACAGTAAACAAATCTATTTCATGCTGGAACAGTAAACAAACAAATCTATTTCACGCTGGAACAGTAAACAAATCTATTTCACGCTGGAACAGTAAACAAACAAATCTATTGCATGATGGGACAGTAAACAAACAAATCTAGTTCACGCTGGAACAGTAAACAAACAAATCTATTTCACGCTGGTACAGTAAACAAACAAATCTATTTCACGCTGGAACAGTAAACAAACAAATCTATTTCACGCTGGAACAGTAAACAAATAAATCTATTTCACGCTGGAACAGTAAACAAACAAATCTATTTCACGCTGGAACAGTAAACAAACAAATCTATTTCATGATGGAACAGTAAACAAATCTATTTCACGCTGGAACAGTAAACAAATCTATTTCACGCTGGAACAGTAAACAAGTCTATTTCATGCTGGAACAGTAAACAAATCTATTTCATGAAGGGACAGTAAACAAACATATCTATTTCATGAAGGGACAGTAAACAAACAAATCTATTTCATGAAGGGACAGTAAACAAACAAATCTATTTCATGAAGGGACAGTAAACAAACAAATCTATTTCACGCTGGAACAGTAAACAAACAAATATATTTAATGCTGGAATAGTTAACAAACAAATCTATTTCATGATGGGAAAGTAAACAAACAATTCTATTTCATGATGGGACAGTAACAAATCTCAATTTTACAGTATAGTTATTCATAATTAAAAATACTCCATCAAACAACACAAACTACTACCAACCATTTGTTTTTGTTGCACAAAATTCTCCATGCTCTGGATCTTACTAAAAATAGTCTTGTATTTAACTCTGTCAGTTGTTGATGATGTATCACTGTGGCTACAGATTTAGTGCAGTTAAAGAATACTTTTTCAATTCAAGAAATAACAGTATACTAAAAATAATAAATGATTTTTTTTAAACAAAAAAGAAAATGTGAGTATGACAGAAAGTATTTCATGTAATTAGTTTTGAATGTCCACTAAAAAGGTAGATTCAGTCTTATTCTTTAACATCACATATTCCTAAACATATAAAACCCATAGCCCATTACTTACATGTTCCTCCAGGCTAGCCTTTGGTTCATCAGAGCAAGTCCTCTAGACTTGGAGAACTGGCCTTTTAATGCTAAATCTGCAGATTTCTTGGCCACATGAGCTCCCAGAATTTCCAAATTTACATCTAAACAAGTAAAACATCAAGTATATAATGGGAAATGTGAAACTGAATGGTTTGTAATTTCAATTTTTTTATCAAACACTTCCCAGACTAAGAGACTGATAAATGTGAAAATAAAATAAAGTTTAAAATTAATATAAAAACTGCAAGAAAAAGCTTTTTAAATGTAAAGTTCATCTGTTTCTCTGACCTCATTATGTAGGATTAATGTGGTCAGCACTATGACAGATAAGTTTAATTAACTTTTTTTACAATGTTTTTAAACTAAGATGTGAGTTTAGTCCATTAAATTTTTGTCATATTTGCAGGAAAGAGTGGTGGAAAAAAAAGTGAAAATCTAAAAATGCAGTCCAATATGGCAACCCAGACTCACTGTCCTCTGTGACTTTCCTGTCATTAGTTGCAGGTTTTGTGCGTGTCAGCACCCTCAGTGCTTTGTTTCCTTCGGTGTCAACATAATTTATTTGCAGCTGGAATGGGAAGTCCTTCAGGGGTCGGTGACCTTCACCTTCACCACCAGAAGCCTGTAAACCTTCTGTAGGTTTTTCCTGAAAATAAAATTGCCTGCATTTTAGTTTTGCTCATAAAAACTGCCACAATTAATTAGGAGTTTGATGATCAGAAATTTTTTTTTAAAAATTATATCTTACCTGTGTGCCTTGTGTTTCTTGAGACTTAGCGGGAGATAATTTTGAACCTGTGAATGATATTTAAATTGGTGGCTCGTAAGAATGCTCTAAATATTGTTTGATTTTTTAAAAATAGGACAACTGAATTTGAAAACCATATGCTGAAGACTCACATTTAGAATTTTTTCGTTTAGCAAACTCAAATGTAATGGTTGTACTGCTCTTGACATTTCCAGCATTGTGCTCTACTCTGCTCTGTTGGTTGTCTGGGTCATTCTCGTCTATCACATAACTAAATAAAATATAGATTATTTTCTTAATGAAACTATATTAATTTTAATAAACAAAAACTTCATAATATATATAAAATATAAAATCTATAGCCACAGTTAAGCAAGTATAATATAATTTTTTTTATATCAAATGAATATACGTTATAGTAATAGTGACTATAACTGAGAAAACTTGTATAGTCCTTGCAAATATTTCTTTAGTAATAATGAAGGGTATAGTTTCTACACATGATCCTTAAGTAATAATGAGTAGTATAATTACTTCATATGATTCTAAAGAAAATGTGCAGGAAACAGCAACTTACAGTTCTTTATGAAGAATACACAAGGCTTTAACTTTAGTGGCAATAATTGGGTCAGCCAGAATATTGCCAAACTCTTCTGTTAATTTCAGAGGGTCAACAATGTTTACCTAACAAAAAGAAAGTCAAACAGAGTTGTAGACCTTGGCTATTGAAACATGTATTGTGGTTTCCTATATTTAACTAATTAGCATTTGTTTTTGCCAAACGATTTGTTTACATTATAATAATACGTCTAAATATACTGCTATGATGAGAGCACTATTTAATTACAAAAGACATGTAATGCCCTTGTCAGTAGCGTACGCAGGGGGGGAGCAGGGGGAGCGGCCGCTCCCCCTCTGGCCATTTTCAGCAAAGTGGCGCCTTTTTGGAAACTTTTTTAACTCAAAGTTTTAAACAATGACATTTGTTAAAAAGATATTTTTGGTCGGCACATCTATGTAAATCACAAGATTTCTTTTCATGCAGCAATTAAACATTACTGTACTAGTCTAGTAGTGTCTACGTTTACAACACGTATTAACAGCTGCATCAGTTTGCCATTCTAAAAATAACCATTACGATGCATTGCAATGTTTAAAAACCTCTACGGTAGTACCACTTGGCAAGAGGGGTGTTAAGTTTAAGGCAACTGTATAATGTATTTGCTTACGAATAATTGAATTAGAAAATGTTATACATAAAACTTCACACATAATTACTTTGTATATACAGTTTGAATCGTGTGATTAATTTTTAAAAAATTACAATACAGAAACAAATACAACTGATGTGGCCCCTCTATTTAAATTTACTTATGAGCAAACTGCGTAGTGGTGGGGACATTTTGACAAGGACAACAACGTCATCACGATGAAGTAGTAGTATTCTTACAGTATGGGCGATAGTGATTATGATTACAAATTATATGAAACAGTTACAACCCCCGTCCCCCATGGACCCCTCTGTAAAAAAAATATTGTCATAATACCACTGCTACTTATTGAAATCTATTTCTGTAATATATATTTGTGTAATATATATTTGTGTAATATGTATGTATGTTTAGAACAGTCATCTAAAAACTGACGCTATGTTCACTCTGAGTTGGTTATCTCCCCCCCCCCTCCCCACACACCTTGACACCACAATTGTGTAGAGCGACATTAATGTCACACCTAGGTATACACTGGGTTGGATAATTGACCTAAAGTGAACGTACAGTGGTGAATGAAGTTGAACCCACCTCCCCCCCCCCCCCCAACCCATCCCGAACTGATCTGTTAAGTACATGTAGAAAAACGCGTAATGATGTACCAAAGTACCATGCCGCCAGAAAATTAGCTTTTTAAACGTAAAACTCTGTGAAAATTGTTTTTGCAATTACCAGTAAAAAGGTTTGTGATCAATCAAGTGATCTAACCCATACCAATCACTATGTTAAAAATGATCTTTAAAGAACACAAAGAAGCAGTAGTTAATTAAAATATATGATCTGAACTAAAAGACCGATATTTAGTTAAATGTAGGCTGTTATTCCGAATGTTTTTCCATTATATCAAAAAGCGTGGTTTTATACCAACTCTGATTTTAAAAACTTTCTTTATGTAATACTCTAGCATTTATGATGACGATATATTAAGTATTGATTATAGACAAAACATTTTGTAAACACGAATAGTGTTAAACAATTTCATTATATTCTAAAGTAATTATTTATTTGTTTTGACATTTATAATTAAATGTGTAGATATATACATATTTATATTAAGAGAGTGATTATTTCACCTATTTCACTTGTCTTAAATAATTTCCCAGGAATTATTATGTAAGAAATTTTTTTACAAGAATTACAAAACAGATTGTGTTACGTTAATTGTTTTTGGTTGTAGTGTGTGTGTATATATATATATATATATATATAGATATATAGATATATATATATATATATATATATATATATATATATATATATATATATATATATATATATATATATATATATATATAATACACGTATATAGAACTTGTTAAAAATTCGGCGCCTTTTTTTGCTCTTTTCGCTCCCCCTACAACGAAAACCTGGATACGCCTCTGGCCCTTGTTTACCTGCCCTCCTGTTTTATCTGCTAGCATCCCCAAGTGTACGAGCTTACAGTCTGTACCTTCAATTGTTATAACTGACACAGTAACTCTGTGGACACAAACAAAAATTGTGTACAGGTCCTAAGGCAAGACACAGGCCTCAACATACATGCTTAGAACTGAAGAAATGAAATGTATAACTAACAAATTTGGACATTAATCATCAACATTTTTCTAACTGCTTTTTGGCATTTAAAGTAATAATCACATCTCCTGTTTTTAAGATTTGACATATGACTGGATTTTTGACACATGTTATTACTGACAGTTTATATTTTGTCAAATCAAACATTTAAAAAGTTATTTTGTTTATCCAAATATTCCAAATATGTAACTTTAACCAAAATCTTTCACTTTCACAAAAATAATAATTTCTGATAACTACTTTTGTGATAATTATTTTTCTAATTAATACCATATTTTCTGGCTCACAAGACGACTCCAATTTTTTAGGTTAAAACAAGGGACTCTATCATATCACACCCAATGTATACTATAAGATGACCATTGAGCTAAGGGACCATTTTCCTGAGTTTAAAGGTCTCTCTGTGCCAGAAAGTTTGGTATTTTTGTATCAAACCAACCCAGCAGTGTGAGCACTTTCTGCAGCTTTAGAGTAGAAGTCCAGTGACGCCTGGTCGTCAGACACATCTTCCAGTTTACCAAGGCCGATGTTTGCCTTACCATCTGTACACAAGATGACCTTTGACCCTGGATGGTGGGAGGCCATGTTGACTGCCACAAGAAGAGCTGGGCCTAAGGCAGTTGCTCCCCCTTCTTCAAGGCTATTGTTCAATACAAAAAGTTGCAATTCATATTTTGTTGGAGATAAAAAAAATAATTTTTAAGCCCTGTCTAAACAACCTTTCAATAAGCATGTAAATCAAGTATACACTTATACCTTGATTATTACTACTGATCATTCATAGAAATAATGGTAACTAAATGGTATAAGAAATGAATTATCAATAAAAAAATTACTACTAAGTAAGTATTTAAAAATTTAGAAAGTAATTTGAAACGAACTGCTTCAGGTATCATCTACAACAATGATGAAGAATAAATGACAAAGAATAAAAATAACGAATATCAAATAGAGAATAACAATCAATGAGAAAGTAAAATGGATGACAAACTTGTAAACTTTCTCCCCCAGTCGAATGCGGCTGCCTTTGATAGCCTGGGGTAGGGCTGCCTCCAGTCCTATCTGCTTCAGCTGCTCCTCATTTTTTAACTTATCACCTGCCACAATTATCTCACTCTGGCTGCCATCTCCAACTATCTTCACCTGTGATGTTAAGTTTTACACCTTTATACCAACACAAGTGATGTTAAGTTTTACACCTTTATACCAACACAAGGGATGTTAAGTTGCACACCTTCGTTCACATCCATACAACATCTGTTAAGTTTTACACCTGCATACCAACACAAGAGATATTAAGTTGTACACCTACACTCACATCCATACAACATCTGTTAAGTTTTACACCTCCACACCAACACAAACAACTACATTAATTACACTTTACATCTCCTCACACCTCATCTAAAAATAACAGCAAATTCTTTTAAAAAAATATTTCCCAACAAAATCCAATATACTTAATAGTGGACAAAACAACAAAAGCCTAACCATATTACTTAAAGATTTAATTAGCAAGGTAGCCTAGATTAACTTCATTAGCGCCTGGGATTAAACTACCACAGCCTTACCTCGTTATTAAAGGTGATTAAGGCCACCCGTCTGTTAGGGTGATTTTTGGCCATCTCCCCCAGCTGGTGGTCCACAGCGGCCTGCATGGCCTGAAGACGGGATATGTAGGTGACAGACTGGCCGCGCTGTGATGGAAGACGTTGATCTACCTCGTCCAACTCTACAAAACTCTCCAGCCTCCTCAGCTGGCTTGTTCCCCTCAGTTTTATTGTTCCAGAGATCTGGTGGATCAAACAAAGGTAAGTCAATTCAAATCTTATTCTCAGGAGAGCTCATCAAACTAACATTTATGCATATAAAGTGAAGCTGGTTTCTGGTGAACAGAAAACTGCGCAAATAGAAAAAGAGAATACAATCACCTCAGTGGTAAAACATGAAAACTGTACCAACTTCAGTGGGGACAAAAATGAATCAACTTCAGAGGTAAAACATAAAAATGTACCAACCTCAGTGTAGACACATTAAAATAACTTCAGTGGTGACACATTAAAATATCAACTTCAGTGGTGACACATAAAAATACCAACTTCAGTGGTGACATAATAAATACCAACCTCAGTGGTGAGGTATCAGTGGCATTTGATAGCATCCACCATCCATCATTATGGAAGATACTAGAGCTATATGGCTTTCCAGGAAAAGTCATAAACATACTTAAGGACATGTACTATGATAACCAATGCTGTGTGCGACACGAAAATCAGCAAAGTGAATGGTTCAAGGTAAAAACAGGAGTCAGACAGGGCTGTGTCATCTCACCTGTCATCTTTTTGGTGGTAATAGACTGGATTATGAGAAGAGCCACTGAGGATAAGCCAAGAGGAATTGTTTGGGAACTTACCAACCACCTAGAGGACTGTGACTTTGCTGATGACTTGGCTTTACTTTCACATGCCCAAAAAGACATCCAAGCGAAAACCACAAGAATAGAGCAAATTGCCAAAAGCGTTGGGCTAAAGATAAACTCCGGAAAAACCAAGCTAATGAAAATAAAAACCAAAAGTGCTCTCAAGACCTTTGCGAATGGAGCAGAGCTAGAAGAGGTCGAAGACTTTAAGTACCTCGGCAGCTATATATCAGCAAATGGCAGCATGGAGAAAGAAATTGCCACCAGAATAGCAATGGCAGCACAAGCTTTTAACAGACTCGCTAAGATCTGGAAATCATCCTCACTGCAGCAGAGAACTAAAATAAGGATCTATAAGTCTAATGTACGTTCTGTACTCCTCTATGCTGCAGAGTCATGGAAACTAAACAAGAAAGTAGACAGCCGACTCAGAGGCTTTGAAAGAAGATCCCTCCAACGCATCCTCAGGATAAAGTGGGACGACAAAGTCCCGAACAAGGAAATATGGCGAAGGACAGGATTAAACGACATTGTCTCAGAAGTTAGAACGAGGAGATGGAGATGGCTGGGCCATGTCCTACGCATGAGCAAAAAAAGACTCCCCAACATGGCGCTGAAGTGGAACCCACCCGGAAAGAGAAGTAGAGGAAGACCACTGGGAACATGGAGGAGGGAGATGGAAGAAGAAGTACAGGCTACTGGCAAAACCTGGCATGAACTAAAGTGGCTCGCCCAGGACAGGGTGGAATGGCGGAGATTTGTTGTTGCCCTATACTCCACAGGGAGTGATGAGGATTAAGTAAGTAAGTAAGTAAGTCAGTGGTGACACATAAAAATACCAACTTCAGTGGTGACATAAAAATACCAACCTCAGTGGTGACACATAAAAATACCAACCTCAGTGGTGACATAAAAATACCAACCTCAGAGGTGACACACATGCTGCCTGAGGTATCCACACAGAAGATGACCAAAGACTGGTCCAAGCCTGACATTGTGCTGGCTGTTGTTGTCATGGCAGGCTCCATCAAGTAGGTCACATCCTCGGCTGTTGGAATCTCCTCCAGCTCAACATCAATCACCATCACCTCGTCACAGAACTCACACTGCCACTCCTACACAAACAACAACATCAATCACCATCACAGAACTCACACTGCCACTCCTACATAACAACAACATCAATCACCATCACCTCGTCACAGAACTCACACTGCCACTCCTACATAACAACAACATCAATCACCATCACAGAACTCACACTGCCACTCCTACATAACAACAACATCAATCACCATCACCTCGTCACAGAACTCACACTGCCACTCCTACATAACAACAACATCAATCACCATCACAGAACTCACACTGCCACTCCTACACAAACAACAACATCAATCACCATCACAGAACTCACACTGCCACTCCTACACAAACAACAACATCAATCACCATCACCTCGTCACAGAACTCACACTGCCACTCCTGTATAAACAACAACATCAATCACCATCACAGAACTCACACTGCCACTCCTACACAAACAACAACATCAATCACCATCACAGAACTCACACTGCCACTCCTACATAACAACAACATCAATCACCATCACCTCGTCACAGAACTCACACTGCCACTCCTACATAACAACAACATCAATCACCATCACAGAACTCACACTGCCACTCCTACACAAACAACAACATCAATCACCATCACAGAACTCACACTGCCACTCCTACACAAACAACAACATCAATCACCATCACCTCGTCACAGAACTCACACTGCCACTCCTGTATAAACAACAACATCAATCACCATCACAGAACTCACACTGCCACTCCTACACAAACAACAACATCAATCACCATCACAGAACTCACACTGCCACTCCTACACAAACAACAACATCAATCACCATCACAGAACACACACTGCCACTCCTACACAAACAACAACATCAATCACCATCACAGAACTCACACTGCCACTCCTACACAAACAACAACATCAATCACCATCACAGAACTCACACTGCCAGTCCTACACAAACAACAACATCAATCACCATCACAGAACTCACACTGCCAGTCCTACACAAACAACAACATCAATCACCATCACAGAACACACACTGCCACTCCTACACAAACAACAACATCAATCACCATCACCTCGTCACAGAACTCACACTGCCACTCCACACAAACAACAACATCAATCACCATCACAGAACTCACACTGCCACTCCTACACAAACAACAACATCAATCACCATCACAGAACACACACTGCCATTCCTACACAAACAACAACATCAATCACCATCACAGAACTCACACTGCCACTCCTACACAAACAACAACATCAATCACCATCACAGAACTCACACTGCCACTCCTACACAAACAACAACATCAATCACCATCACAGAACTCACACTGCCACTCCTACATAACAACAACATCAATCACCATCACAGAACACACACTGCCACTCCACACAAACAACAACATCAATCACCGTCACAGAACTCACACTGCCACTCCTACACAAACAACAACATCAATCACCATCACAGAACACACACTGCCACTCCACACAAACAACATCAATCACCATCACAGAACACACACTGCCACTCCTACACAAACAACAACATCAATCACCATCACAGAACTCACACTGCCGCTCCTACATAACAACAACATCAATCACCATCACAGAACACACACTGCCACTCCACACAAACAACAACATCAATCACCGTCACAGAACTCACACTGCCACTCCTACACAAACAACAACATCAATCACCATCACAGAACACACACTGCCACTCCACACAAACAACATCAATCACCATCACAGAACACACACTGCCACTCCTACACAAACAACAACATCAATCACCATCACAGAACTCACACTGCCACTCCTACACAAACAACAACATCAATCACCATCACAGAACACACACTGCCACTCCTTCACAAACAATATCAATCACCATCACAGAACTAGCATTGCCACTCCTACACAAACAACAACATCAATCACCATCACAGAACACACACTGCCACTCCTGTATAAACAACAACATCAATCACCATCACAGAACTCACACTGCCACTCCTACACAAACAACAACATCAATCACCATCACAGAACTCACACTGCCACTCCTACACAAACAACAACATCAATCACCATCACAGAACTCACACTGCCACTCCTACACAAACAACAACATCAATCACCATCACAGAACACACACTGCCACTCCTACACAAACAACAACATCAATCACCATCACAGAACTCACACTGCCACTCCTACACAAACAACAACATCAATCACCATCACAGAACTCACACTGCCAGTCCTACACAAACAACAACATCAATCACCATCACAGAACTCACACTGCCAGTCCTACACAAACAACAACATCAATCACCATCACAGAACACACACTGCCACTCCTACACAAACAACAACATCAATCACCATCACCTCGTCACAGAACTCACACTGCCACTCCACACAAACAACAACATCAATCACCATCACAGAACTCACACTGCCACTCCTACACAAACAACAACATCAATCACCATCACAGAACACACACTGCCATTCCTACACAAACAACAACATCAATCACCATCACAGAACTCACACTGCCACTCCTACACAAACAACAACATCAATCACCATCACAGAACTCACACTGCCACTCCTACACAAACAACAACATCAATCACCATCACAGAACTCACACTGCCACTCCTACATAACAACAACATCAATCACCATCACAGAACACACACTGCCACTCCACACAAACAACAACATCAATCACCGTCACAGAACTCACACTGCCACTCCTACACAAACAACAACATCAATCACCATCACAGAACACACACTGCCACTCCACACAAACAACATCAATCACCATCACAGAACACACACTGCCACTCCTACACAAACAACAACATCAATCACCATCACAGAACTCACACTGCCGCTCCTACATAACAACAACATCAATCACCATCACAGAACACACACTGCCACTCCACACAAACAACAACATCAATCACCGTCACAGAACTCACACTGCCACTCCTACACAAACAACAACATCAATCACCATCACAGAACACACACTGCCACTCCACACAAACAACATCAATCACCATCACAGAACACACACTGCCACTCCTACACAAACAACAACATCAATCACCATCACAGAACTCACACTGCCACTCCTACACAAACAACAACATCAATCACCATCACAGAACACACACTGCCACTCCTTCACAAACAATATCAATCACCATCACAGAACTAGCATTGCCACTCCTACACAAACAACAACATCAATCACCATCACAGAACACACACTGCCACTCCTGTATAAACAACAACATCAATCACCATCACAGAACTAGCATTGCCACTCCTACACAAACAACAACATCAATCACCATCACAGAACACACACTGCCACTCCTACACAAACAACATCAATCACCATCACAGAACTAGCATTGCCACTCCTACACAAACAACAACATCAATCACCATCACAGAACACACACTGCCACTCCTACACAAACAACATCAATCACCATCACAGAACTAGCATTGCCACTCCTACACAAACAACAACATCAATCACCATCACAGAACACACACTGCCACTCCTACACAAACAACATCAATCACCATCACAGAACTAGCATTGCCACTCCTACACAAACAACAACATCAATCACCATCACAGAACTCACACTGCCACTCCTACACAAACAACAACATCAATCACCATCACAGAACACACACTGCCACTCCTACACAAACAACAACATCAATCACCATCACAGAACTCACACTGCCACTCCTACACAAACAATATCAATCACCATCACAGAACTAGCATTGCCACTCCTACACAAACAACAACATCAATCACCATCACAGAACACACACTGCCACTCCTACACAAACAACAATCAAAAGTTTTTAACTCTTCAATACCCCAACTACACTCCCACGTCAATTATATTTTCTCTAATTACTCTACTTTTTTGCCTACTCTAATTCCTGTATCTATGTTGCTACAGTTGCAATAGCTTTGTTTCCTTCTTAAGGTTTTCTAGTATGGTTGATTTTGTATTTTCAAGAACATTTTTTTTGTAAAACCACTTACAAAAGTGCATTTTTTAATACTGTGGAACCACATTCAGCAGCTGTATCTAAACAGTTATGTCCCTTTGTGCTAAATAATTTTAAAGTATTCCTCAAATTCAAGATTTTGGTAGAAAAATAGACAATTTTAATTTTCTAAGAATAAAAAAGAATTTGAAAAATAGTTTTAATCATGTATTTTTACAACATGTATTTTTCCCCTGCAAAAAGCTACTTATCATTTCTACTTGTTTGAAACTGAGAAATTATTTTACTTCAAAAATATATTTTTACTTAAAATTCATATTAGCGTTTAGGGCATTGAATTGCCATAAATTTTATCAATGATGAGTGCATTTAAAATAATTATATGTTTAAAAACTTATAAGTCATTTTGATTCATAGGTGCTGACAAAAATTGAGGTGAAAAAATAATTGAGATGGATAAGGAAATAAAAATGTTTGACCATAATGACCTTCACTTGATGGATAAATCATAAATTAGTATACTAATATACAGTGTTCCAGAATTTGTATTGTGTTAGCTTTTCTTTATTGGTTGCACTCCCTCTTTATGATACTCCTCAACTAAAAACAGTGTTACACTATAAAAGTATATCTTTGTGTTACACTATAAAAGTATACCTTTGTGTTTCACTATAAAAGTAGGCCTATATCTTTGGGCTAGACTATAAAAGTATACCTTTGTGTTTCAGTATAAAAGTATACCTTTGTGTTATACTATAAAAGTATACCTTTGTGTTTCACTATAAAAGTATACCTTTGTTTGAGGGTTGACTTTACTGATGTGGGAGAGTATGGCTGAACACTTGCCACATAGCACTGGCTCTCCAGCATGCATGTTGCCAGGTGCTAGTAGAGCACTGAAGTTCACAGAAACCACATTTGTGTCAGCTCTCCTAAAACGGCGTTTGCCAGGCATTTTAGAACTGGATGAGCTGCCTGCAATTTTTCAAAAAATTTTTTAGTAAACAAAGTCAGCTATATCAAAAGTACACAAATGTAAACAAAACAAAAAATAACAAACAAATTTTATAAGACAGAGTATGTACAGATATCCAGGAATCAGCAGAAATGACAAGCTACCTTGTTTTCTAGAGTCCTCTGTTTTCATTGGCTGGGTCTCATCCTTGGATCCACTTGAAGAGTCAGTTTTTGACTGATGTTTACCTTCCTTTGATCCGCTCTTACGCCTCCAGTGGTGTTGAAGTTTATGGAGGCGCTTCTTCTTTGGGTTAAATCCTGAACACAACATCTACATGGTCACTTTGAACACAAGGTTTTACAAATAATGTGGAGAAGGTTTTTTCAATAGGACCGCGTGGTTGAATGGTAGAGCATGCAACTGCTAACCCAAATGTCCCTGGCTTAAGTCAGTGAAACATCCTTTAGTCCACTCAACTCTGATGGGTACATGAGTTATGTTAGAGAATGTACAGGCAACTTGGTATAGTGCTGACCACAGTATATCTTCATATGCTGAGGTAACAGAAACAGATGAACTCTACTCATCTGCAACACGCACCACCAGGTTTGAAAGGGTAACTTTATATTGTGCTGGCTAGTTATCAAACAGATATGAACCTTCATTAGAAACACTTTCAAAACTAACTTTTGTTTAATTATCTAAAAATGAAGTCCACTAAAGGAATATACAAAAAAAATTACTTCCTCAAAATTATTTCTTAACACTTAACCTATTAAAAGTTTCAGATATAAAAATACTATAAAAATCAAATGAAGCTTAAAAGGTTACAAGTTGTAAAAAAAAAATTTCCTTACCCAGAGGTGGTGGATGGCGGCTCATTGAAAGCTCGTTGTCACCTGCACAGAGTAACTCTTCCTCATTGTCTGAGCCGGAATCACTACAATCATTCACATATTATGCATCAGTACATGGTTTTCTTAAAGTTAAATAATTCTATATTGCTTTGTGTGCATGTTAGTATCTGTCATTATCTTAATTAGAGTCAAGTGCTTTTAAGTTAGTCTAAAGACGAAGCTCTTAACGAAAATTACAAATAGATCTAGCCTCTTTCATTAACACATTTTAAAAGTCCGACCTGCCTTATCAGATGACAAGAAAATAAGCATTTGTTTTAGAACTGATAAATATTCAATGTCACTAACACAGGTGTCTCCTTAGGCCTACCTGATATGCATTCCTTGCACAAACTCTTCCTCTGATACACTTTCATATTCTTCTTCGTCATTGTCTAAAATATACTTTGATGCAAAATCCATAACTTGTTTCTTGGTTCAACTGTAAAAAAAAAACAACCAATAAATGATCTTAGAATAAAAGCTGGGGACAACAACCTATCTATGAGTGACAACTCTAAAATCAAACAACTGGTTCTGTTGAAATTGTTCTTGGGTGGACAAAGGGGGTCTACGCCTAATTCCCGAAAGCCACTTGCCCGAATGCCGTTTGCCCGATTTCCCGAATGGACACTTGCCCAAATGTGACAAATGCCCGAATGGACACTTGTCCGAATGCAACAAATGCCCGAATGGACACTTGTCCGAATGCAACAAATGCCCGAATGGACACTTGCCCAAATGTGACAAATGCCGGAATGGACACTTGCCTGATTACAATTTTTAGAGTTATTAGTAGAGAGTATTACAAGATCTATAGCCTACTCTCCTAATAATATTTGTAATTGTAATAAATTAGGCCTATTACTTAGTTATTACTAATTAGTGTTTGAGGTTACTAAATTTATTTAATATTTACTTAACTTACTACTAGATCTAACTAATTAGTAGAATTACTAATAAAAAGTATTGGTAAAAATTTAGAGAAAACCCTTGAGATTTCAAAGTATCCGCTGCCAACCAATCAAGCGCGCACTTTCTTTAAGTTTTGGTTGGCGGCTGATGGCACGATGACGTCACACGAGGCATTTTTGGAGTTAAAAGGGTCGAAAAAGCAATTTTTTCTAGGTGTAGTTTGGATTTTTTACGTTTTCTTAAAAGGGCCAGAAAATGACCCTTTTTAAAAATGGACATAGCCATCAATGATAATGAAGGGAGATTGCTTAGGTTAAGGCACGACACACAACACTGCGTGCGTGGTATGTGGCCTGGCTAACTGAAAGGAGATTGGTTATATTATTGTTTGAGTTTATATTTAATTCAATGCAATGAGTATTACTATTTAGTATTAAGAAGTAAGGGAAGGCGGGAGAATGTTTACACCGGTGTCCGATAATGGAATCTTCTTGAGGTTACTGGTAGTTAACATACATGACTGGCTAATGTCACTGCTAACGCTGTCCCTAGCCCTAACCCGAACCCTGGTCTTACCATACGCCTAAACATAATTTTTAACCATAAAATTAGTCGATATTACAATACTACTAACAACCCAACACCCCTTTTTAAAAGAAGATTCCAATGGTCCAATATTCAATATTGGACACCGGTACTAGTACTATGAATGATGATAGTATCTATAATAATCTATATTCTATAATCATCACATCAGGGAAGGCTAATGCAGCTAATGCCAGCTAATGCTAAGCTAACATAGATCTATTTGTTAGTAATTTTTTAAAACTAAGGATAATATAAAATAAACTTATAAACTATGAAGATTAGGTTCTAGAAATCTAAATCTAGATTACTAGATCTAGATCTTTTAATCTAGAATCTAGGTGTAGATATCTAAGACTAGGTACTAGGACCACACAGTACTCAGTACACACATTTCTAGTTTTCTAGTCTCTGAATTTCAAAGTAATTTGGGATTTTACCGATTTAACCTTTTTAAATAAACAGACTTAGATCTTGATTTTCTAGTATCAACTCATCAGTTGTATTCTGTGTAGTACTAGATCTAGTAGTCTAGAATCGATTGATATTCAGACGGTCTAGCTGAGCTTGTGTGACAGTCTAGTGAGTCTAGATCGAGATCTAAATCTAGCTCACAATAATATAAACAAGATTCACCCGGAAGTACTAGATCTTGATGCTGTTCTATTTAAGTATATGACTCATAAATAGAGAAGTGTTTATATCCGCACACTAGGAAATACGCAACTTGCTTAGGTCCTCACACATCCCATCCGAGCTTTATAGACCTGCATAATGTTTTTAGAATGTTTTAACGGAAGTGTTATTTTTAGAATTTTTTACTTTCTCGTATACAGAGGAAGTATTGTAATCGTGCACAAAAAATTACATGAAATGTTGACAGTTTTCACCGTTTTGCACCTCAGTACATCATCGTATAAGGAGTAGGCTCTACGGGATCCGGACAAATGGCCGACATGGACAAAAAGCCGACACGGACACAAGGCCGACATAGACAAAAGGCCGACAAGACAAAAGGCCGACTGCTAAAAGGCCGACATCCAAAAGGCCGACAAGACAAAAGGCCGACAAGTTTTCTAAAACAACCAACTACAATTACAGACTTGTTTAATTGTTTTTATTGAAAACCAGTTATAATGATCATGTTATATTACAAAATAGAAACAATTAGGGCCTAGTATGATAAACTGTATGCTATGCCAAGTAGAATTTGAAGTCTGGTTCTGTTTTCCCTTTATGTTTTGACATTTTTTTTACTCTGTCCTCTTTCTGTAAATATTGTTTTTTTTTGTTTTGTTTGTTTATTTATGGCTCACCAAACAATATTACCTCCATCTCTCCTTCCACTCTTCCTTGTTCTTGTTTTAGTTTTTTTTTAGCAAACAATAGACTCCATGGTGATCTTTTCCGACGATTACCTGCCACCTCCTATGCTACCCCTCAACGGTATTTTGGGTCCTTGGAATCCCATTTTGATAATTGTAATGGTTTCTTTCATTCTTTTTGCAAAATATGGTGGTAACGCCACCTATCTGTTTGTCCTTTGTACACTCCCGTCATCTCCTGTCACATCAGTGGCGTAGCGAGGTCGGGTGTCACCCGGTGCGGCACTTAATGGTGTCACCCTTTTCGGCGACAAACTTTCAAATTTTCGATTTGCATCCCCCCCCCCTTTCAAACTTTCGATTTGCACCCCCTCAAGTTTTTCTCTATATAATTTGCTATTTTTTGCCTTGGTGTCACCCCCCTAAATGGTGTCACCCGGTGCGGTCCGCCCCCCCCCCTCGTTACGCCCCTGAGTCACATTTACCCCATTGTCACCTTACCAGAGTCACAACTAGCATTGTCTCTTAGCGTTCCGCCTTGTTGCATGTGGGCGATGATGCTGGCGGCTTTTGACTTGGTTCTTTGATGGGTGTCTCACCTTGTTGACATAGAAGGAGCTAAGAAAAACAGCAGTGACCGCATTTCGCAATATTTAGGTGTTGATCCTTTGTGTTTAATACACTCCCGTAATCTTCAGTCGCTTGATCCGATGGTTCACCTTATAAGGATAGCAACTAGCATCGTCTCTTCTCTTGAACGTTTCACCTTATTGTATGCCCTTTTTCAATGGTTGTCTAGATATGAGCTATGCAGTAACACATATTTTGCGATATAAGTATTTTTATGCTGTCGGCCTTTTGGTTTGTCGGCCTTATAGTCTGTCGGCCTTATGGTCTGTCGGCCTCTTCTCGCTACACGTGTTTCTATAACAAACCACATCTCCCCCATTTTCGTGAGCTCTACACACCTGACCACGCGAGCACATTCCAAATGCGCCGTTATTTAAATTTCTAATTTTAAAGCGTGGTTATCTTGAGCTAGAAGTAAAAAATAACTAAATCTACAACATCTTAGGCTTTGACACATTATTTTATAGTTGCACGATCTATCGGGGGCTAGGTCTGGATCTAATTGTTTTGAAACGTATGTTTCAATTCTTTGATATGTTTAAAGATAAACTTGAAATACCAGGATTTTAAAAATAGAAAATTGTTGCAATTAATGTCTTCCCCCCCCCCCCCCCCCCCCCCCACCGCTTGTAAAATGTTGCCGCATTTTTTCTTAAGTGGGCGGTATATATTTACATCTGATACATTTCTTCACCTACAGAGCTGTTGTTTCTTGAACAAAAGAACTACCGATTTACTTCATACATTAAAAAAATAAAAAAAAAATGCCGGTACAACAATAACATTAGCTACATGGTTATTTTGCTGCTGTAAGCGATAAAGTTATAGCCCTCATGTTAGATGCCTACCTAAAATCCCACTTTGATTAACTTAGTTTTAAATATTGATTATTAATATTATGACGACTGACGATGTTTGTTTTTATTAGTACCCTATTTTTTTTCAAATATGTGCTTTTTTTTACAATTGTAGGACTATGCCTAAGTAATTATGCTTTTGTGTCCTTTTTTTAAATTTCAGATTAAATGTTTAGTATAGAATTGTTTTTATTTCAGCCGATTATTGTTTAAGGCTGTTGTTTATTTATGGTTGTACCGTAACGCTTTAAAAAAATATATATACTGCATAAAAAAAATCTGGCCATTTATAAATCACAATATGCCACATAAGACGGTCAGGATTGAAACGGGAGGTAATCTAGTTGTGTTTACTGGCTGTTGGTACACTTAGGTAAGTCTAGTCTAGTCTCGATTCTAGAAATCTAGATCTGGAATCTTGATCAAGATTTCTAGATTTAGAGAGTTAGCATTTTCGAGTGAGGGATATTTTTGTATTAACAATCTTATTTTTATGCCAGTTAACCCTTTTGCATTAGATCTAGTTCGAATTTAGATTTTTAAAATCAAATTGATTAGCCTAGGCCTACAAAAATTAAAATTACTTTTTGGATCGATTTTCGGTGTGTTCTTTTTCTTGTCTTACATAATAGATCTAGTATTATAATAGTGATAATACATATTCATAACACAACAATTTACAAAAAGACTCCAGAAACATCGACGATCTTTTATCTACATTTTTCAAAATATTTTGTGTGTGAATAAACTATAAAACCCAAAACCGCAGACAACAAACTTGTAAGTAATAACTGTGCTGTATCCGTTATCACAGCTATGCGACGGCTGTAGGCCTAGATCTAGATCTAGAAATAATTTTTTTTCCTTTTGGTAGTTAGGGTCCAAAGTCCATGACGCTTAGACACGCTCTACCGGGTTTCTATGATTCTTCAGTATTCTTCAGGTTAAAAATTAATAAAATGAGATTTCTACTTAAACAAGTTTTTCTATGACCTTAGGTCTTAAAGTCTAGGCCTAAATATTAAATAGTAATACTAGATTCTAGATCTAAAGTATTCTAAAGTAAATAGTAGGCCTAAATACTAAATACTTACTAATAATTACTAATTTCATTTGAGTTTGGTAGGCTCACCTCATTATTATAAAATAAAAAATAAAAAGGCCTAGGCCTACTAATAAAATTAATAAATAGGCCTAAAAATACATTAATAAATATTAAATAGCATTATCGTTAGGTTAGGCTTTAGGCCTATACTTAAGTTAATACTATTACTATAGACTATAGTCTACTATAGTATATTAGGCCCCTATATAGCCCTATAAGTTTACCAATGACAGTTGATGGGCCTACATATTAGGTGTTATCACTATCAAGACATAAAGACCACCGACCTTAAAATTACTTAATATTTCTGAATTTATAGGAATATTGCTTATCAAGTTGCAAATGAAGTAAAAAAAAAAAAATAACTTGTTGACATTGTGAGAAGCACATGTTTTATAGATAATCATTGGGAGCTAGAAAGAATGCAATAACTTAAAACTTGAGTTAAAAGAAGAACATTGCTACCTATGCTGGTGTTGTAAACTTGTCCATCCACCCAAGGTAACAAAAATGTTAGGCCTAATAAGAATCAAAGACAAAATTTAAAACAAACAACATTAAAACATATGGATCCATTTGTTGTGTTATTTAGGGTAAGCTCTAATATTTTTTAATCCTATTTACAACATTACAATTAGCAATAAAGTTAAGAGATCATGAGTTCTTGCAGTATGTATCTTATAGAATGTATCTTATATCTGCTTGCTAGCTCATCATCCATACTACACTGGCATTTTTTGGTATTTACCAGTCTGGTAAGCTTAGCTGTGAATAAATAAAAGCCTAATTGCTGTGAATTTTTATTAATTAGCTATTACAGTTTGTATTGTGTGAATACTTTCCCATGAATATTTTAAAGCAACAAATGTCATGGCATAAGCAGGATTCCAACGCATAAATTTTTGGTTCTATTACATAACTAAGCAATATTGTATACATAAAATAGTAGTTGTGTAGTTACTGCTAAAATGATACTGCAGCTGTTGACAGTGTGAATGCTGTGTTTCTGTTTAATTATATACAAATGTTTTTTTCTCATACTTATATTTTAAAACAAAGAAGCATTGCTTTTCTATTTCTATCCATTTTGGAATCAGGTTCACGATATTTAGCTACAATATTTTGCTACTCTTTCCCATTATTTTAGCGAAGTAAATCTATATGGGTAGGTAAGGGAGATAATCGGTATTTTTCTGGTTGTGACTAGCAGACGACACAAACAGAGGCAAACTCGGGCAAGGCTGTGGGTACAAAGTCCAAAAGATCGAAATAGAACCAAGTCAATAAAGGGGTTAAGTATTTCGGCCAACTTGCGCAAGTTGCTAAAGCCCACCACAAGTCGGATTTATTCTAGGTCCTAGTGTGTTTTCATTAATTAACGTTGATGTGAGTAGAGTAGGTACAGTGTACTTTTGAATATTTCGTTGACTTCATTTAGAATGGCTTTTTTTTTGCAACTTTTTCCCCCTCTTTTCTCTCGTCTACGCAAGGCGCCGTAAAAATAAAAATAATGAATGAATAAAATTCTGTGAACCATGTCGTGCCGAAATCTGTGTCCAATTTTCATTACACTACACACGTAGCTTAGCCGTTTACATAGACATTACAATACAGCGAGTTGTGCGGGGTGTACAGCGGCGTAACTAGGAGGGCGTGTGTGTTGAGATTTACAAATAAAAAGTTGAGACCTATTTTGATTTAGATTGAGGGGGGTTAGGTTAGCTTTTGTTAAATAAATAGGTGACGTATATTCAAAAAAATCAAATTGTTTTATTACATGTCTCTATGAGTGCCTTATAGGCTGAGTATATTATAGTATTAGCAGGCTACCGTAAACTAAACAGCAATGACAGGCGTAGACAGTCCAAGTTGCAGTCGCGGTTTTCTGTCAGACATTTTTCTCCGTGGGGAATGGAGGACGGACACTGGTTAAGCATATATTTTCTATATAAATTATACTTTATTTTTTTCCAATTTCGTCACGATGCTAGAGACACTGATTGCAACGAGCTCACGTGTCCTGTCCAAAATGTGTTCCTACGCCGATGTGTAGTTGTGTTATTCTGTATCAGTGAGTTTCCTTTGACTGTTCTCACACTGGTCGGCGTACCAGGCTACTGGGGACAAGGAAAATATGACGACATCGTCTTCTGCTTACAAAACACTTATGGTTACGCATGTTAGGCCTGCTGTCAGTAACGTAGCTGGGGGGGGGCATATGTTCCCGGGCGCCGACCTTAGGGGGCGCCAAAAGGGGTTGGAAAAATAAATTGAAAGGTTGAGCGGGGTGCAAATCGAAATCTTGAGGGGGGGTGCAAATCGAAAAGTTTGTCCCCGGGCGCCGGGAAGGTTCGCTACGCCTCTGCCTGCTGTATAACATTCTGTATTTTAAGTAGCTTACAATTAGGCGCTGTAGTCTGTATAGGATGTTATGGTTCTTACAAATATGTATGAGTGGTCTGTGGATACATTATACGCCATAGGAAGTCTGCCTTTATAGGAACATCATAGTTTGATGTTATCTAAATTGAGCGTGATTCTTTATGGTGATGATTTGTGTCATAAACAATATTTACCCCCGGGGAAGGGTCGTGGTATGGTTTTTTTTTTTTAAAGGCAAGGTATATAAGTTTACAGAACTGTGGACAACAACGGTCAGTCCTTGACGACCAACATTATAGTACGTGAACGCTTTTAACCAACCTGTGTCATTTATAGTGATGCTCACTGTGTAAAGGGGAGTGCACAGTTCGTCACTTGTAAATCTTTGCGCTGTTCTACACTCTACTGTGAGAGTTCGATCTTTAAACAATAGGGAACTTTTTAAAACGTCGCTAGATCTCGTGGCTCGTTCGGGGGACAGGTAGTCAACAAAAGTTGACCTGCTTTTTGTGAGTCGTTCGGGGGACAAGTAGTCAACAAAAGTTGACCTGCTTTTTTTGCGGCTCTATGTTCGCGTGTCTGGCGACAGATTTATTTTAAAGAGAAAGATCTGCGTGTGTTCGTGAATCGCCAGTTTTACCATGGCTTGATTGCATTACTGGTGATTGACTATACTTGTCGTTAAATGCCACTTAAAGTGATGATCTGTTCCCCTTATTATGTCTTTCACATGTCGAGGTCAGTGATGGTGAGTTCACCTGTTGTCCTTTAGGTACCGAGGTCAGAAATGGTCTGTTCACTTGCTGTCCTTTAGGTACCGAGGTCAGTGATGGTCTGTTCACCTGCTGTCCTTTAGGTACCGAGGTCAGTGATGGTGAGTTCACCTGCTGTCCTTTAGGTACCGAGGTCAGTGATGGTCTGTTCACCTGCTGTCCTTTAGGTACCGAGGTCAGTGATGGTGAGTTCATCTGCCAAGTCTTGACATCTTGTGTGACATTGTGACATCTTTTCTCTCGGGGTCTCTGGGTACGGGCGGACTTTTATCTGTAATTGCAACACTTGAGTTAGATAAGATTTAACACTAATCATCAGTAGACAGTTACATGGGGACGTGAAAGGTGGGCTACTTGTACATCCAGGCCAGGAAACGACAGGTCACACTTTATAGGGATGGGAGGGGTCACGCCAAATAATAGGGGTCACATCCGATAAGAGGAGGGGACACGCCAAATAATAGGGGTCACACCAAATAATAAGAGAGGTCAAACCAAATAATAGGAGGGGTTACACCAAATAATAGGGGTCACATCAGATAAGAGGAGGGGTCGCGCCAAATAATAGGGGTCAAACCAAATAATAGGAGGGGTCCACCAAATAGGGGTCACATCAGATAAGAGGAGGGGTCACGTCAAAAATAAGAGGGGTCACACCAAATAATAGGATGGGTCACACATTAGTGTCGGGCGTATGACCAGTCTATGACGTCACAATTAGCAGTTAGATCTATCGTAGCTAAATCAGCATGTAGATTTTTTTTTTGTCGTGAAAAACTTAGTTAGAAAAGGGGGGTTATATTTTATATTGAGCGATGGTTTCACTTTTTTACCAGGGGATTTAGCTTCATGGATTGGATGTAAAAAAAAAAATTAAGTGACGTTGGTCTATTCCGATTGTTTATGCCAACTTGCTCGCTATCGCTGTAAAAAAATTAGCGAACGGTGTTGGGATTGATAAAAAAGCGTGCAGTCTTAGTTTGACTTGTTATCTAGAGTCGAGGTAAACATATTGTTGACTCGCGGTTGACGCTGAAAAATGTAGGTCTTTTTCTTGGGTCACGTTGTCTCTGTCTGGGTGGGTGGTCAACTTTTGTAGGCCCAACTCAATTTTGACTGTTCAAATGCAACGATTTCTTTCCAAAATTAATCAGTTCTAATGGTTTTGCTAGAAAAATCGTATTTTTAATCTGTCTGGATTTTTAAATAAGTCAATAAAATGTATTAAAGATGAATGCATTCAATAACAAAAGGGGAGATAACAAGATCAATTAGTAGCTGAGCCGTGTTCACGGATGTTTTTCAAACTTGGTCCAGCACGGACGCCATTTGAAAAATGGGACAGAGAGATCTAAATATCATCTTGCTCAGGTTTTAAGAAAATATTCAAGTCGGTGTGGGGACTCTGTGAGAACCAACCATAGGGGAAGAATAAACTGGCCTTATGGTATTCGTTTTTTTTTAAAACTAGATTATCAACTTTTTAAATTTTTACAATGTCTAAATACTAAATAGTAAAGAAAAAAATAAGTTTAAAGACCATTACAGTTACAAACTTTTAAATTAACTATAAATAAGAATATAAGCATAAATTTTACTTAGATTTCAATGTAGAATTAGAAAAGCTGTAATATCCTTTTTGTGTGCGGCTTTTTCCATTTAGTACAGCAGTGGTTAATTTTTTTTTCAACACCCATCTGAATACTGAAGTCAACCATCAATTAACCTACTAAACATGACATCCTTTGAATATGTAAGGTATGGTGTACCCCCCTCCCCCATGATATGTATTACATTTAAATAGTGTATATATTAACCTTTTTAACACCCCCCCCCCCAGGCTTATTGCCTGAAAGAAGCCCTATTCTTACTTTGCCAACTTTGCCAAGATTTATTTAGGTCTCTGTAATTCCCCAATTTGCAGCAAAATGTTTTTGAAACATGAAGCATACGCTTGAGGAAGTAGCCTGACAGCTTAAGACAAGCTAACCTGTCACCTATTTAAGATTTAGTGTAATCATCTAAGGTGAGAGCCTTGTACTTTGTACCTGGATTGGCCCTTGGACTGCAGCATACCCCAATCTGGCCATATGACATCACTGTTCTCTTTATCAGAAACATTCCATAGTTCATGTGTGTGTGTGTGTGTGGTAGTAGGTTTTTATCAAATGTCTGAAAGAATATCAGTTCACACTTAGAGCTGAGGACAGTTATCTCACACACACTGTGATCAAGACATTTCTTGCACTGACAGGTTAATGGACTTACATTAATTTAATCAGGTGCAGTACATTTTTAAAGTTCACATTTAACTGCTCAGTAAATGAGAACTTAACACCTTCTGCCAAAGAAGTTAATTAGGTTAATTAAATTAATTTTTTCTAAATTTATAATATACTAATACTCATACAAAGAAGAAAAAAATTAACAATTTGTAGTTTTAATTTTTCTTATATTATTTAACATATAATTTATGACATGTGCTATCAATAAAGGTGAGACATAATGTTAATAGAAACTACCAAATTGAAGTAATTTTTCTTTAGATGTTCAGTACATTAAAATCAAATTATAAAAAAACAACCTGCTTCATGTTGTTGTTGCACCATCTGTTGTTACTGTTGTTTATTTGTGTACTTTACCTCATCTCACTAATGTGAAGCATCATACTTTTAGTGACATCAATCACTGGGGGCATGGGATGAGTAAGTACATAGATCTAAGACGGGTGATGATTTTAGTGCTGGGTACACCCATTCACAGAATTTTAAGTAGCCAGTCCTAAATTAGTTCTAAACTTGCATTGTGTTGTTTGTTTGTAGGTTGGTAAAGACATGTAAAAGATATATCATAACCATCGTGTAAATTGGTGATATTTTTATTTCTAAGTGGGCACCATGAAGAAAATTCTCAAACACTTGTTGCTCATTCTTAAAAGTTTGTGATATTTCTCTTTTTTTTCAGATTGAAAACATCAAAAAAACTTTCACTGTACTGTCAGACTGATTCAGTTATGCATATATGAACATTGAGATAGCATAGAAATATTAGAAGCCAGTGTTTAGAGTTTAGAACCCATTGTTGAGCTAGTGTTGTAGAAGCCAGTGTTTAGAGTTTAGAACCCATTGTTGAGCTAGTGTTGTACAACCAGCTATGGCTGAAGCCCATGCTGCAGTTGCCTTTTCCTTCACTGTGACGCCTGATGGCTACGATGTCAACATAAACCACGAGGCCCTCAAACATGTCTGGCAGAGTGGCGTTGTTTCCTGGAAGAAGAGGATTGGGAGGCTCAAGGTAAACATTTTTTCACATATGGAAAATATTTCTAACTTTATCTACTGTTATTTATGTTTCTACCAGTTATGTCTGTGTTAACATGTGTAATGTTTTTTTACCAGTCAAGTTTATGTGTTGTAGTATGTTGTGTTAATCAACTTTTATTGATTATTTTTATTTCTATTAGACAAAATAAATTAACTCAAATAATTTTTATTACAATAAAATGATTGATTAGGTTTAAAAAACTTATTTTGTTGCCTTTTTTAACAAACATTGCTCCCCTTCTGACAACAGAACAACATAAGAAATGGAGTATTTCCAGCCACCATCACATCATGGATGTTTGTTGTGGGAATTATTCTTGCTGTCAAACTTGCTGGATTTGATCCTTCCTTTGGAGTTATTGAGAGCATTCATCGACACACACCAGGGTAAGTCAAAGTATTAGATCCCAACTTGTGTGTTGTGGTGTTTTGTATAAGGCTAGTCACACACCAGACTAGACACACTCCAGGCTATACAAACACCAGATTAGACACACACCAGGGTAAGTCAAGGCTATAGATCATGTACTATGGTTAATAAATGTCCATATTTAAGAGCACTCAGCTGTTTTTCATTAAAAGCAGTTTACCCTACTTTTTATGGAATCCATTGTTGTTGTTTTTACATAATCCAAGAATTTTTAAATTAACTTGTTTTAAAATTTTCACAATCTTTAAAGTTATCAATTTATTTCTATGCCCTATTTCATGCCAAGTTTTTTCTGGGTATATTTTGGACTTGTTTATAAAGTTTATTCATTCAATTCTCTGTTTCAGGCTAATTTTGTTCTCCTGTGGACCTGTATATCTTGACCATTTTGTTTCAGGCTAATTTTGTTCTCCTATTCTGTGGACCTGTATATCTTGACCATTTTCTGTTTCAGGCTAATTTTGTTCTCCTATTCTGTGGACCTGTATATCTTGACCATTTTCTGTTTCAGGCTAATTTTGTTCTCCTATTCTGTGGACCTGTATATCTTGACCATTCTGTTTCAGGCTAATTTTGTTCTCCTATTCTGTGGACCTGTACATCAGCACCATGCTGTTTGGTACGCTGGTGTGGATAGGCAAGTTTCTGGTGATGAGGTACATCCTCAAGCTACTGCTGACCTACCACAACTGGATGTATGAGGTCAGGGGTACCATTTCACTCAAGACAAAAATCTGGTTTGTAAGTAGTCGGCCATTTGTTTCTTCATTTGTCCAAATGATCAGCTTTTAAATCTTTTTGTTATACTAGTTTTTCATAAGTACTTGGTCATAAATTATTTATAAATGTACATATTTTAAGCATAATTAGAATAACCATGGATTAAATTTTTTAATTTACTGACCTAATGATTTGTTTTCTATGTGCTGGATCATTGATCTTTCTTCTATGTTATGGAATATTGATTTATTTTTTTGTACTTATTGATCTATACCGATCTAACTGTATCGTCAACCTAATTTTGTATAGGACCAGTAATCTACTTTCTTTTAACTGTACTATCTTATTTTCTTTGTATTGGATCATCAGTCTCTTTTCAAATATTTGACACTATCAATCTTATTTTCTATGTATTGAATCATCAGTCTCTTTTCAAATATTTGACAGACTCTAATCCGTCTGTATGGAGGAAGGAAGCCACTGTTGATGAGCTACCAGTCCTCACTACCTAAACTACCAGTGCCTAGCATCAAAAGTTCAGTGGAAAATGTAAGTAGCACAGTTACACTAAAATGGTCATAACTGGTCATCAATAAGTTCTAGTCAACATTTAGATTTTGGACAATGGTTATAGAGTTTAAAAGTAAGTAAAGATTCCTCTTTAGACCAAATGAACCATTGGGAAGATGAAGTAGTTCATGATTTTTTACCTGTGCATAATGTGAGTTAGGTACCCATAAGAGCTGGGTGGACTCTGGGACATTCCACTGACTTGAATCCAGATTCGACCTCATGACTTTTGGGTTAGCAGTCTAGCGCTCTACTGCTAAGCCACGCCCTCCCATTCCAAGAGTTAAGTTTCTGTATATTAGTTCTAAAGCCAGGTAGTTTGTTATAAATAAAAAGCTAGAGAATATAAACATATAATTGTGTATGAAAAAATCTCCTGACATGTTTACCACACTTGAAACAGTACCTGCAGTCTGTGAAACACCTGTTGTCTGATGAAAAATACCAGGAGATGGAGAAGTTGGCCAGTGATTTCAGCAAGGGGATTGGCAATAAGCTCCAGCGCTACCTCATTCTCAAGTCTTGGTGGGCTACAAACTATGTAAGATTTAACTAAGCTTTTAACCCTCAGGAACATTGATTTTTCTTTCAATTGATGGCTTTTTACTGGTGTTGCTGCCATACTAGTTTGTTTTGTATATTATATGGACAATTTAGTTTATTATATACCTTGATTGTACAATATAGTTTTTATTTACATTGTACAAGCTAGGTTTTATTTACATTGAAATATTTTCAGGTATCTGACTGGTGGGAGGAATATGTTTATCTTAGAGGCCGTTCACCTATTATGGTCAACAGTAACTACTATGGTGTGGTAAGTACTAGTGTCATAGGCATGGCCTTCATATTTCTAATTTCGGTGATAGGTTAGGCTATACTAAGAAGTTTGCTTAAAAAAAGGAATTAGAATTAGACTGTATTGTAGAAATAACTTCAGAATTTTGTGCTATTTCACCACTTAATGAGACAAATCTACAGATAAAGACTACTTTAAAGACCATGTAGCTAGAAAGCTTCAAGGCCACCATTTGTAAACAGAATTGTATAGCCCCACCAGCAAACAGTATGAGACATGTAAACAATCTAACCAGTCAGACGCACAAATAATAAACTTTCCTGTTTAGTCACCTTCCCAGCTTGCTACAGACTGCCTGTAGACGAGCAGGCTTTACAGAACTATTTAGCTGTACCTTTGTTCTTGTTGCCCTCAGGATGCCTTGTTGGTGAACAACACCAATGTACAAGTGGCCAGAGCTGCCAACTTGATCTATGCCATGCTCATGTACAGACGAGAGTTGGACAGAGAAGAACTCAACCCAGTATGTTGACAGCAGTGATCACTTTTTGCATTGATGACTTGTATACTGCAGCTATTATGTTTACTTCAATCATAGATCATATTTAAGTATACAACCATAAATGACTTAAAGATCTAAAAGTTAATGATTATCTTGTTTTATTTATAGATCCTCATCAATGGTGTGGTTCCTCTCTGTTCAGCACAGTATGAACGACAGTTCAACACAACACGCATTCCAGGGGAAGAAACAGGTAAACTTACAGATTTTCATGGCCAGAAAAATATTTTTATGGAATTGTTTAATGTACATTTATACAAAATTATGCATGTCTGGATTTTTATGTCGTATATGAAAACATTTTAACCACACACTTTCTTGTTGACAGATCAGTTAGTACATTTCAAGGACAGTAACCACATTACAGTCTACCACAAGGGGCGTTACTTTAAAGTCTACATAAGACACAAGGGAAGACTTCTCAAGCCTTGCCAAATAGAAATGTAAGTTGTGTACACCATGCATAGCTGAGAGTCTTATTTGCTACTAAAGCCTATTTCAGAAACCAATAGGTTTAAATTATTATTTAAATAGGTTTAATTATTTTGAAAAGTTTTTTAAAAATAAGTTCACAGTTTACTAATTGAAGCCCAAAAAATGAATTCCCAAAGTGAGCTGGTTGTATGCAAATTTTCTTTAAACAATTAGTATAATTGATAAATAAGACAATAACAGTCCTCTGTTTTACATGTCAACAATGTTTAGGCCTACTGTGTTTTTTTTTAATTTACTAAATCTGTGCTAAAAATCTTCTTAAAGATAGAATCAGTATCACTCTCCTTGGTTAAAGTTTCAAAAACATTTCTAGAGTTGTTTACCCATTGAGGCTGCTAGTTGCCATTAGATGTGAAAGGTTTAATGGCCCACATTTCCCACTACTATCTAGGATGCTGCAGAAGATTGTAGATGATGAGAGCCGACCAGCAGAGGGAGAGGAACATCTGGCAGCTCTCACTGCTGGAGAGAGGGTGCACTGGGCTAAAGCTCGCAAGGAGTACTTCAGTAAGGGCAAAAACAAGGCCTCACTTGACGCTATAGAAAAGGTGAGAAATGTTAGCTCAGGTATTCTCGCTAATTTTGTTTCTTAACTGCTGAATGAAAGTATCTATATTTATAGTCAAGTTTTGTATGTTTTAAAAATTTATTTTTGTTGTTTAGCTAAACAAAAAGTCTGTTTTAGTAATAAAAAAATGTCATATTGTGAAGTAATTTGTATTTTTTTCCCTTTAATCAGGCAGCTTTCTGTGTATCCCTTGATACAGAACCACAGGATTATGACCCTGTAAGTTAGCTTTTTTATCAATCACTTGTATAGTGAATTATAACATTCTACAGTGATGCATTGTTGAAAGTCTAAACTACAAACTTCAGTACCTTTTCAGGCATGCTCTACTTTAAACCTTAAAATCTGAAAGCATAAAATACATCAGTTGTATACAGGCAACATAATAAAAACACTAGGCTAGGACTTCAGAGTCAGCCAAAAGTTTCCCTATCTCTAACACCAAGATGATTATGAACTCAATGACAGAGTGTAACACTGTAAATGATTTGTTTGTTTAGAATGATCCTCTAAATGACAGAATGTAACACTTTAAATGATTTGTTTGTTTAGAATGATCCTCTCAATGAAAAAATGTAACACTTTATATGATTTGTTTAGAATGATCCTCTAAATGACAGAATGTAACACTTTAAATGATTTGTTTGTTTAGAATGATCCTCTCAATGAAAAAATGTAACACTTTAAATGATTTGTTTGTTTAGAATGATCCTCTCAATGAAAGAATGTAACACTTTAAATAATTTGTTTGTTTAGAATGATCCTCTCAATGAAAGAATGTAACACTTTATATGATTTGTTTAGAATGATCCTCTAAATGACAGAATGTAACACTGTAAATGATTTGTTTGTTTAGAATGATCCGTCCAAACTTGACCGCTATGGTAAAGCCATGATTCATGGTAAAGGCTATGACAGGTGGTTTGATAAATCCTTCACCTTTGTTGTCTGCTCTAATGGAAAGGTAAATATTTTTCTTCACATCACTTTAACAAACTGCCATATAACTATCATTGAAACATCTAACATCTGCAATGTTTTTGTATATCATACATAAGTTTAAGGCTTTTTTTTTGTTTGTTTGTTTTCAGATTGGTTTCAATGCAGAACATTCATGGTAAGTTTAATAAATTGTTTTCTTTTTAAAATTACTTATCATAAGCAGCTAAAAAGTAAAATTTTCTTATTAGTTGTTTATGAAAAATAAGTAACATGCTGTAAGCTTATGTTGTATTTTAGCCTTTGACAGTGTTTGTGTCAATATTTGAATTGATTATTTACATTATTTGTTTGTGCCTTAAGTAAAGCTACAAATAAATCTTTGTTGGTGTTATTCAGTACATTTGTATCTAAAAAAAATGTTGTTACATTCTTTGCTCTGAACCTTTAGTTTAATTTCATTTAGATACAAATCTTTGTTGTAAAATATTTTAAAATGCCAAATTATTCTTCTTAAAAATGTTTCTACATCAAATTCTCAAGAGATTCAGTGAAGTTTTTAACATAACAACTGAAGATCAGATGTGATGTTAACATGGGAAATAACTCTGCAATAATTTATGTGCACATCAATACCAATTGTGAGCATAGCATCCCATTAGAAATGGGGGCTGTGCCAACACCTTGTGGCTGAAGCATGACTGCTAGAACTGCTGTGTGACATCAGTTAGGTGCAGCTACTAGGTGTGTGGTTCTAAAACTGGATCTGTAAATGAGGCTGTCCTCTGTTTCAGGGCAGATGCACCCATCATGGCCCACATGTGGGAAGTGGTTGTGACTGAGGACCATATGCGTTTAGGGTACTCAACTTTGTCTAAATGTGCATGACAATTTATTAACCACTTGGGCTTTTAGTTTAAGTCCTTCTGATTTCCGAATTAGAATTTTTTTATTTAGTTTGATGAAGCAGAGGGCTTTAATTAAAGTGTAGAGCTTCTAGTGTGTAGAAAACTGGACCCCAATGTACTAGATTGGTGCCAAACTGGTTACAGCACTAAACTTTTGTTTTCAGATTGGTTCAAATCTATGTTTGCATGTTGCTTATTAATGTATCTTTTTTCTTTCAGAAAAATGAGTCCGTTAATAATTTTTTGAGTCTGTGGATAAAATGTAATGAAACCTTTAGTGTAATTGAATTCATTCAAATTTTTAGGGCAGATGCTCCAATAGTTACAGTCATGTGTGAGGCTATCTATGCACAAGATTTTAGTATGGGGTAAACAGCTGTTGCAGCAAAGTACATTCCTAGTCACCTCCCCTTCTCTTGCTTCTTCTTTACTTTTCCTGCTTGTGCAAACAGGTTTTGGGGGTATTCAAAGCCTTAAGCTAATAAGTTATCATTTAATAAGGTTTTTTAACCATAGTTAATTTTGAAATAGTTTTCACTCCTTATAAAAATGTTTTAGCTGTAAAACTTTGTGTACTGTTAAATATAAAATAAATTGTATATTTATTAGTGTAAATTTCCACTGATTATCCAAGATGTCATTTGACTGGTATTGCATGGGGCTTCTCTTGGCTCTGCTCTAAGCTTTCTCTCCTTCTTCACACTGGATCTCATCTCCCTAACACTCCCAGGGTATATGCCCATAACCTTTATAACAGTTTCCTACAGAATTGCATTGAATGGGAGAGGGCAGACTTTATATTGCTACTGTTATTTACCCTCTTGGGTACATAGTGCATTCAAGTTTATAAGCTACTTTAAGCTACTCATAAAATATTTTTGTTTGCAGCAGTAGAATTATATTTTACTTCAAAGCATTTTCACTGGTAAATCATCAGGAATGTGGATATTGTACAATACATGATCAAATACATGTTTATACTCTGGGTAAAATGTTTCCTGTTAAAAGAATTACATTTTTCAGATTGATCAGCTCTGCTAAACATGTTCATTCTTCTACAGGCCTCAGCATGTGCTCATGCTTCACGCTTTATACATGATAAGAACACATTATAGTTGACTTGTGATTGTCCTGTGATTGTCCAGTTTGACCTGTGATTGTCCAGTTTGTCCTGTGATTGTCCAGTTTGACCTGTGGTTGTCTAGTTTGACCTTAAACTGCTACTAATACCGTACGGACTTTGTCCCCCTGTAGGGCGGATGCACCTCTGATGGCGCAGATTTGGGAGGCGTGCCAGCAACATGAAATAACTCAAGGGTAACCATTTGCCTAGACATGCATACTTGGGTTCCAACAACCCTCTCACTGTGTGCTCTATTGTATTCTTCTAGCATGATTCAAATTGCTTCTTTTCTACTGGGCTAGAGTGTAGTGACATTTTTTTGTTGTGTGTAGCTGCTCCTCAAATATTGTATTCAGTTAGTTTTTCTTTAAGTAGCTTTCTTGTTTTTCTGCTTTTTTAACTCTTATCGAATATTTTTCACATATAAGCATAAGGAATTAATTTTAGTGCAGTGGATGTAAGCTGTACTGTTGTTTTTTTTGGGTAGTACTGGAGGTTTTTTTTTCTGGCTTACTGTGGTGTTTTTTTTTGGCACATATAAAACAGTATAAGAACTAACAAGCTTTTTCTCTGTGTGTTTTCTTTCAGAGGCTGTAAAATTATCTTTAGATTTGGTTTTCTAATGCAGTTATTATACAATAAACAGATTGATAGAGTGCAAACATGAGCACATTCCTGCAGCATCCCAGCTCCTATGAGTACCTGACTTAAGGTGGCTGGGCATATAATTGACCACATGATCCCTTCATATATATGCCTAGATCACAGTCAGAAACAATTTGCTCTATTGGCTGCCAGGTCACAAAGTTTAGTGTCATGTTTTTTGTAATAGAGACCTAATTTTTCTTGTTGTTACTTCCCATCTTGGCAGTCTGAAGAGTTTTCTCTGGCATATCTTTTGTTTACACCATCACACTAACATCTTACATGCAGTAAGAATTAGGAGAAAGGTGGTAAATTTATAACACCCCCACCCCCCAGAAAAATGTATTTTAAAAAACCTACTAGTTGAAAAACTTTATTTTAGGTACTTTGAAGTAACCTGTATTTTCAACTGTCAAAAACAAAATCTTGATTTCCAAGTATTTATTTTTAAAAAAGGACAATCATTAAACTTTCAAAGTGTAGTAAATTATAGTGTGTTTGATATAGGAAAATGCACAGCTCGACTAGTGAAAACACATAGGCACTGACATCAGTATTCAAATTTAATTAGCTGGCTTGATTTCTTCATATACCCACAATATTCTGTACACCAGATGAAAGTATAAATAATGCTACTAGTGCACACTGATACCATTGGCCACATTACTCCTGGAGTTTTTACTTTTTATGATGCTTTAGTAATGTGACTAACCATACTCTTTTTTTTTTCAGATAGACATTCATTAATTACTAATGCCTGTGTTGTAGATAATTAATTGTATGTATTCACCTTTAACCCTAGATAAGTTCAATCAATTGGTGAATAATGTGACCTACATTAACCCTGAATAGGTCAAATATTAAATATTGTCTAAAGTGTCCTACTTCAACCTTAGTTAAGTTCAAACATCAATAGGGCTGGTAAGTAGGTCACCAACCAGTTCTATGGCTCATGCAGGTTTTATTGAGCCGTAGAACTGATTGGTGACCTACTTACCAGCCCTATTGTTGAATAATCTGACCTACATTCACCCTAAATAGGTTAAATGTGTCCTACTTTAACCTTATATTAGTTAATGTAACACCCTTTAACCCTTGACATAAAGTATACCCTTGTAAAATGTTAAAAGTATTTTATGCCTGCTTAAGAACATGAACATGATAAAAGATTCTAATTGTCTGCATTTATCATAGTTAACCATTGCTCAATACATGACTGTGTAAGCTTGACTAAAATAATAGCTATTTAATTTTTTTTTTATGCAACTTGTTTTGTTACATAAATCAAATAATAATTTCTTATTATATTTAACTAAATCTCATTTTCTTATCAGTTTCTCGCAAACTAAAATATCACAATCTTCAGTTTTAATGCATATTCATATATTTTCATTACTATAAGCTAGATTTATTGAATTGGATTTCAGTAATGTTTAAAAAATAAATACTTGAACTAAGACCATACTAGAATGTTTTAATGTTGATATTTTAATGTTGGTGTTATGATCATGCTTGGCACAAGTTTAAATAATAGTAGCTCACTAATATACGCCATTAACAGTATAAAGTATATGGTAATATTTCTAAAATTTTAGGCTAATTACAGCAGTCAATTCACCATATTTAGTTGAATCATTATATTTGGAAAACAAACTTAGTTATATAGCTTTGATTAAAGACCCTCTGCATTATTATTAAGAGATTTGTTATTAACATTTTATTTATTGAATCTGAAAAAATATTTTAAATTAAAGATAACCGTTTAATTTTTACTTTTTGCTACGTTGTGTATAAATTATTGTTCATGAAATGAAGAACCACTTAAATCTAAAACAAAAATGTTGATTGATTTCGTTTAGATATGATGAGAGGGGCCACACTTTGGGAACTCCTGAATTTCAACCACCAAACCCCATCAGACTTGAATGGGACATCAGCCTACCTGTATGTCTTCTATTTCATTACACATTTTTTGGGTATTGTTTCACTGGTGTATAGTTATAACAGTGTTTGTAATATTGGGAAAGGTTTATTTTTTACGTTTTTATTTTAAGCATTGAACTGAATGTCTAGCTTTACTATTGGTGCCAGCAATAAAGCATTCAACCATCTCTATCTCCCTCTCTAAAAGTGCCAACAAAGAATTGAGGAAAGTCTGCAAGTGGCCACTGTCCTGTTGAATGATGTAGACCTCCACATCATGATGTTCAGAGAGTTTGGCAAAGGTTTTGTAAAGACGTGTAAAGTCAGCCCCGATGCCTTCATCCAAACAGCCCTGCAACTGACATATTTCAGGGTACGTACTTACTTGCGTAAGGGTAGGCACTACATACTGACATACTTTAAGCTACATATTGACTTACTTCAGGGTACGTACTGACTTGCGTAAGGGTAGGCACTACATACTGACATACTTTAAGCTACATATTGACTTACTTCAGGGTACGTACTGACTTGTGTAAGGGTAAGCACTAACTTACTTCATGGTATGTAAAAAGTAAAGTAACTGTTTAGACATGATTTATCTAATTAAGTTCATTTAACTATTTGGTACTTGACAAATGATAGCATTGGTGTGTTTATATGTATACATGTCTTTTGACAGCTGGAGAAGCAGTTTTGTTTGACGTATGAGTCATCCATGACAAGATTGTTCCGTGAAGGTCGTACAGAAACTGTTAGGTCATGTACAGCAGACACCTGCAACTTTGCCAGGGCTATGGAGCAAGGGTTAGCTGTAAGTTATTTTAACAATTTTTGTGGCTAGAGCAAGGGTTAGCTGTAGGTTATTTTAACAATTTTTGTGGCTAGAGCAAGGGTTAGCTGTAGGTTATTTTAACAATTTTTGTGGCTAGAGCAAGGGTTAGCTGTAAGTTATTTTAACAATTGTTGTGGGTAAGATAAATATGATAAATCAATGTATGTGAATTAAAAAATGAATTAATTTGGTTACCTACTGTGCCTCTGCCAGAAATCAGAATGTATAAAGCTGCTGTCCAAAGCTGCGGACACCCACCAGAAGCTGTACAGAGATACCATGACAGGCAAGGGAGTTGACAGACACCTCTTCTGTCTGTACGTCGTCTCTAAGTACTTGGGCGTGGACTCACCATTCCTGTCTAAAGCTCTCAGTGAACCCTGGAAGCTCTCCACTAGCCAGGTGAGTACATTTGTACCTGAATGCTGGGATCTTATTACTTAACACCTTAGTACAGGAGTTTAGTTACACCTAATAGTTAAGGTTTGTTCAGATGAAAGTATATTAACCTTCTCATGCTGTAATAGCCTGTTCTTGTCAACTATTTCAGACCCCTCACCAGCAGACTGACAGACTTGATCTAAACAAATACCCAGACAGGATTTGTGGAGGCGGAGGCTTTGGACCTGTAAGTTGTACACCTTTGCTCTGTTTGTATCAGTTGTGTTTGTATCAGGCGGTAGTTGTGTTAGAGTGACAGAGGTGGCAGTTATGTAACCTGACAGATGTATTGATGTACATGTTTGTCTGACAGGTGACAGATGATGGCTATGGCGTGTCCTACATGATTGCTGGAGAAGACACCATATTTTTTCATATCTCTTGTAAAGTCTCCTGCCCTCATACAGTAAGTATGGTTTTACGAAACACCTTCTACAAATACAACCACCACACCCGTTCACAATCAAATACATCACCTCATATGCTATAACTATAACCACTTCTTAAAATAAGTTGCGGTAAAATAAAAAAAATTTTAAAGTAAAAAAAAGTGCTTCAATGCAGGAAGAAAATACCCCCCCCCCCCCTCCCGTCCCGTCCCCATCCCAACTATGTTATCTACTGCTATTATTTATTTTTTTACCAAAGATACTCTCAAATTTAAATTCCAACATGATTTTAATGGTTTTAAATTTAGAATATCACAGTATAATTTATTATATAATTTGTACGTTAGTCACATATGAAGAATAGCGACTAGTGCCCACAAGTATAGTACATTGGTTTGAAGCAGTTTAAAAGTGAATGTTTCCTTTCAGGATGCTCACAAGTTTGGTGCCACTCTCAAGAAATCATTGTGTGACATGAGAGATTTATTTTCTAAGGACTGAGGACATCTGACTCTAGCAGCCAAACAGTTGGAGAAGATGCTCCGTTTCATTTGATATTAATTTACCATGTGCTGGACATCTTTAGATTTGTTTATTGCTGGGCAATTTTTTTTATTTTACTTCTGAAAGTGTTTTACTAAAACTATAGAATTGAAAGCACAAAAGGATTTAAGTTTTATAAAAACCAATTTAAATCAAAAACTTGTATTTGAGATTACAACTTTCTAGAGATGTACAATAAGTCATATGTCAAACAATTGATTTTTTTTCTTTTCAAATTTACTTCAAAGTTCCACAAAATAATTATTTGTTTTGAATATTTGAACAATTTTAATTACTTACACTTACACTGCCGAAAGATCAATAAAATGATTTCCTTCTCAAATTTCAAGTAATAAAATTATTTTAGTCAAGTTCTGCTAACAATGAGTCATAATACAGTTCTAACAATTTATGTGGTGAGGTGGAATATTTTATTGAATCAAACAGTTACTATGTTTATCATGAGCATAAATAACCGATGTTGTAGAAAGCTTTTTAAGTGTTGTAAATATATATATACAGACTTCTAAGTGTGGCATATAAATTATAGAGTAATATTTCAAAGCCAATTTTTTATTTGACCAAATATTTATTCCAATGATGCAAACACAGAATGTGTTATCTTATCAATGCAAAGGTGATGGTAATTTAACTAACTCTACACAAACATTGCTAATTTTATATTGCTTGCTAACATATGCCATTTCATTAGTTGAAATATTTACTGGGTACTAAATCTGTTGTGGTAATGAATGTTTAACGTGCCTGTGTTTATAGGTCCAATACTTTGTACTATTATTTTTGGTGGTAATTATTGTTGTATGCCCGGTGTTTCTAGGTGAAATAATTTGTACTATTTTTGGTAATTATTGTTGTATGCCCGGTGTTTCTAGGTGAAATAATTTGTACTATTTTTGGTAATTATTGTTGTATGCCCGGTGTTTAAAGGTGAAACAAATTGTAATTTTTTTGTGAAATTGAATTATAAATGGTGGGGTGTGTTGCTCTACTTGCCCGGTGTATTTTCAAGTTGCCATATCATATTGTGTACTGAAAATTCTGTGATGTTTATCTGACATTCAAATTTATACCATTTACATTACCATATATAGGTCGCCTATATTTCTACAGGCTCATTGTACTATTTAATTCATGACAATAACAGTTTAAACTCAAGGACAGTTCTGATGAAGATAAAACCACAGCAGATTTTATTTTTCCCATTGATCACAATTTTTTTTTTTCATTTCAATAAACTATTTGGTTCTAAAATACTGAATATTTTTTTATCCTGTTATTTGCATAGTTTTTCTTCTTCACTCTTAATTGTAATATTGGAAGTTATTTCCTTCAACACAATTTTTACTGAACTCCATTTTTAGCCTGCTTTTCTACTTGGATTTGCTTCCATAGCCTTTGTCCATCCAAGATCCTGTAGATGGGTTGCTATCCCCTCCTCATCTGTGCCTGGTTCAAATTAGAGGCTTTTTGGTTTAGCAGCTCTGATGACTCGACCACTATGTACACTGTTAATTTATTCTCATATTGCTGAATATTTTAAGAACTTAGTAACCAATTATTTGAGAAATCTAAGGCAATGTCATAAACTCATTATTTCCATAATGTGACGCCACAATTAATTTAATGTATATTACTATGAAAAAGTAAGGGAGTATATATGCTAACTGCATAACATGAGCCCTTTGAAATATTTTTTTTTGGGGGGGGGGGGGGGGGTGTTAACTTTTGCCAGAGAAATAACTTATAAACATTCTTTGAATAGCCTTCAATAGATCACCAAACCATTAGTATGTAGATCTATGTATAATAGATCTAGCCAACATTTAAATTTATCTCGCTGGATTTTACTCACAATTTGATAGTGCAAGATGGTGTTCTAATTAGAGTAATTTAGTTTAGACACTAGTCAGTGTAACAATAACAAGTAAACACATCGTTACATTGTTTTGACTTAAACAGCAGTTCCTCCCCATTGATAGGCCTACCGTCTGGTAGAAGTTAGGTAACTAATATTTTTAAAAATAGCAAAATTCTTTTGAAACTGTTCACGTCTTTATTTTTACAACAATAAATGTGTGTACATCATTAGTAAAGTTAGAAAAACAAGTTCGTTACAAAATTATAAATTGGGGGGGGGGGGGCAAAACATCATGTAAAAAAATACTTTTAAAACTTCATCTAGCTGGAATGTTCCGAAACAGTTTAAATAACGTCAATCTGCATAATTAAATGCATTTCTTTTTAAATAGTTTAATGCTGAATCACCTCAACAAAGATCTAGAATCTGGATCTACCGGATACCAAACAAATTAATAGGACTGTGACTGATTTCTCGATTTCTTTTTACTGGGAAAAGTTTCCAAATGCACAGAGATTCATCTGCCCCTGCCGATGCTACAGTAGTTTTATCGGGAGAAAGTGCGAGATGCAGTGGTCTCCCTTGGTGCGAGCTGAGCGTTGCAAAATGGTGGAGTTCCTGATCCTTGGCAGACCAAACCCGGATGTTGTTGTCTGGATAGCCATGGCTAGACACCAACTCTCGGTATTCACTAGACCATAATAGTGCGCATGTCTAAAATAGATTACAAAATCATTGGTTCATTGAAGTTTATTGAACGCACTTTTTAAAAATGACGGTCTAGATTTCGTGGGACCCTAAGCTTCCTGTGATGATTTGAGTTTTTATGTCCAGATGCAATAAGGCAACGAAGAATATTCTGCTTTTGTGTTCAAATATGCAAGCAATTTGATGTGAAATATAAAAGTCTTTTCCAGTCAACCCCCCCCCCCCTCGAAGAACGTCTACCCCCTTTTAACCGTGTCCCGCCCCCCCCCCCCCCCCCCCTCCGAAAAAACTCAGTGCCCAAGACCCATGGGGTCAGTGATGGGCATGATCCGAGGGGCAATATGAAGTAAAATTAATTTGCTTCATTGACCTAGCAGCATTTACTTCCTAAAGGGGAGTCTAATACCCATTAGAGCTGGGTGAATCCAAACTGTAGACTTTCGGGTTAGCAGTAGTTCGCTCTACATCCCGACCACACCGTCGTAACAAAATATTCCGGTATGTTCCATTTATTTATTTTTTTATTTGAAAGGCACGGTCGCCGTTTGAAATCCCCAAGATATTAGAGGCTTTGTTTTAACCTAACTTGTAAACCACCAAGTTTCCTTAGTTTCCTTTTAAAATATTGCGTTGACTTGCTTTAGTGATTTAATATTTACTTGATTAATCTTGGTTAGTTAATGGTTCTCGTTCTTGTTGTGACTAATCAAACTAGAATCTATTTCTAAATGCGATAGAAACAAATTATAAGACTATGGTAGGATGAAAAATTAGGGAAACAAATTCTACCTGCACACGAGTTTCCCTGACAGACATGGCTTGCCCGGTGTTACGGTTCCACAGCACGACCTTTCCATCATTGCACCCGCCCCCAGTGGCCAGCACGGTGCACCTCCAGGGGCACCACGCCATCGCTGTAGACGACAGACCACATGGTGACACACCCACACAGATGGCACACACACACAAGTGACAGACCCACACAAGTGACACACCCACACAAGTGACAGACCCACACAGATGACAGACCCACACAAGTGACAGACCCACACAAGTGACAGACCCACACAAGTGACACACCCACACAAGTGACACACCCACACAAGTGACACACCCACACAAGTGACACACCCACACAAGTGTTAGACCCACACCAAGTCACCGTTGGTACGGTAACACACCGCTACTCTCCTATATAGATCTACACGTCTCCCAATGTATTCTAACGTTTGCGTCTAGAATCTGTACTCACCCTTAATAGAAGACATGTGTGCATCAATTTCACTCAGTAGGGCGTGGGTTCGAGTACACCAGAGGCGAACGTATCCGTCGTCAGATCCGCTAGCAAGTACCGTCTCATCTGGCGAGAGCTGGAGACTGGTTACCTGTGAGATACAGGAAATGTCCAGGTGAGCTAAGGTAATATACAGGTGAGCTAAGGTAATGTCCTTAGCTAAGATAATGTCCACGTGAGCTAAGGTAATGTCCACGTGAGCTAAGGTAATGTCCAGGTGAGCTAAGATAATGTCCAGGAGAGCTAAGGTAATGTCCAGGTGAGTTAAGGTAATGTCCTGAGTTAAGATAATGTCCACGTGAGCTAAGGTAATGTCCTGAGCTAAGATAATGTCCAGGTGAGCTAAGATAATGTCCAGGAGAGCTAAGGTAATGTCCTGAGCTTATATAATGTCCACGTGAGCTAAGATAATGTCCAGGAGAGCTAAGGTAATGTCCACGTGAGCTAAGATAATGTCCAGGTGAGCTAAGGTAATGTACAGGTGAGCTAAGGTAATGTACAGGTGAGCTAAGGTAATGTCCAGGTGAGCTAAGGTAATGTACAGGTGAGCTAAGGTAATGTCCACGTGAGCTGAGATAATGTCCAGGAGAGCTAAGGTAGTGTCCACGTGAGCTAAGATAATGCCCAGGTGAGCTAAGGTAATGTCCAGGTGAGCTAAGGTAATGTACAGGTGAGCTAAGGTAATGTCCAGGTGAGCTAAGATAATGTCCAGGTGAGCTAAGGTAATGTACAGGTGAGCTAAGGTAATGTAAACCTGCCTTAACCTCACTCTAAACCTACTTTAACCTCACTCTAAACCTACTTTAACCTCACCCAAAACTTACTTTAACCAACCTACTTTAGCCTCACCCAACTAGCTCTTATCTCACTCACCTCAAAACGTTGACATTTATCCCTGACTGTTGTGTGTTTCCCCACAGACGCCCGTGTATCCACAATGTGGATGTTTCCATCCCTTGACCCACAATACAGCACCCGCCCCCTCCACTCCAGACACCCGATCTGTTTTGTCCCCACCGGACGGGCTGTGTCGCAGGGTCGGAGCGTGACGTAATCCCAGAATTCCACCAGACCCTGCAGGGTATCAAACAAGGGTCACAGGTAATTATATAGAACCGTCTAACATCTGGATGGACGATGGGATGAACGACCTGTGGCCCAGGTAGAGACAGATGAAAGTAGCTACCTGTGGCCAAGATAGAGCCAGGTGCTTGTAACGGATTTACCTGTGAGCGGCCCTGGGCCAGAGTATGAGAGTCCCTGCTCCACCTGACGCTAGACACGTGACCCCACTGGTCTCCCTGCCCCAGGGTCCCGGTCGTGTTGGTCCCGGCGTCCCAAACAAAAGTTGTGGAGCCCAGTGCCAGAGCGATGGCGTTGTTGCCGCCCCAGTCCATGGTGCTGTGGGTACAACAGTGGTGTTAGGTGGGTCTCAGGGCATGGGTCTCAGGGCATGGGTCTCAGGGCGTGGGTCTCAGGGCATGGGTCTCAGGGCATGGGTCTCAGGGCGTGGGTCTCAGGGCGTGGGTCTCAGGGCATGGGTCTCACGGCATGGGTCTCAGGGCATGGGTCTCATGGTATGGGTCTACGTGTTGGCATGGGTCTCAGTTTCAATGTTAGCACAAAACTAAAATACATTTAGTATCTATTTTTGTTTATAAGAGAACGGGGCCTTGTGGGGGAGATCAAGTGGTGTGTGGGAGAGTGTGGAAGGGGGGTGTGGGGAGTGTGGTTTTTGTAACTTGATTAACGGTAGAGCACTGTCTGACCCACCTGCTGTAGAAGTCGTCTCGAATGTTGGGAATGGCCAGAATCCTGTCCGGATCTCTGACTATGTCACGGCATTGTTCCTGGCGAGATTCGAACCCAGACGATGGGCTGGGAGTAAGTGGGTGGCAATCTTGATAACCATTTAGCGTCTGCTGTAGCGTTTGGCTAATTCAAGGGAAAACATTAATAAGTGTATTAATTATGTTAATTAAAAATTATTTTTTAACTACGCTCAACAGTTTACTGCATGTAAAATGTAGCAAATTACGCCAAAAAATGACGTCATGTGGAGTAAAGAACAAATAATTTACGTTATCAATGTAAAACAAAAACATTACATTTACACATTTTTCTAAATCTAGATATTTGTATAGCCCTAAGAAATGTGACCTTAAATTAGAGAATGACAGGACTCGTCTAAGTGGGCTTTGATCCAGGGCGACACTCAGTCGTCGTTTGTAGACAGCTGTTGCATCAGCTTCACGTGCTGGGGTGTCCCGAGTCTTGGGAGGGTCGTGACCAGAGTCCGACCCCCGGGGTGAGTCAAACATTCGGCAGTACACGCTGTCCTGATTTAACTTTCGACGAAACGGTATGTACCTGACATAGAAAATACAAGTGTCAATTCGACGAAACGGGATTTACCTAAAACAAAATTGTGTCAGGGAATACAAGACAGCACAACTTTTTATTTTATGAATCAACGAACACTCACACGCATTCGCACACAACCACTCACACAAACTCGTTGATACATATAAATCAGACCATCATGAAGACATCTAGGACCAGACGTATATCCTTCTGCCAACGGTTCCAGATAGTTCTGATACTTCCGTCAGTTCCACGTCACCACGTTTAATGACAACATAATTGAGGTCAACTCACCTGTCCAAACAATTCCCTGACCGCTGTATGTGTGTCCAGAACTGGAGGGACCTGTCATCCAACATGTGTCCATCATCCATCACACGTCTGTCAAAATGTTTTGACATAGATCATTAAAGTAAAACACACAAACATAAGATATCGGCGATTTAAAGACGCGCAGATGGTATTTTAAGTTAACAAATCTCAGTTATCATAAGCCGTTCACCAGTGTTTCTTCCAGGCATCTCTTTGGGGAGAGGGGGGGGGGGGGGGTTCTACCGCCCCCCCCCTATGTTAAAACATAGTTTTAACAGTGTCCTCTTCGGAGAAAAATGTCTGGAAGAAACACTGCCGTTAACACCCCCACCCCACCCCAATGGATACTTTGTTTTTATTTCAAGATGATTTTTGTTTGTCAGATATTCAACTTGGCCGTGAACTTGTACAGCTCTAAACTCATACACTAGCACAGACCACGGAGCCGCCCCCGAGAACGAAATGGAATTTATATACACCCCCGGAAATTTTAGTCCGACCCACCGAAAATTTAAAGTGCCCCCCCCCCCCCCCGGACAAAAAAGTCGTGGTAGGTTCCAAACTCGTGACTTGCAGGTTACCAAGCTAGCGTCTACCCATAGACCCCGTTAAAAACCAATAATATTTACAATCGTTATCCTAGCGCTAAATTCTACTCTCGCCTTAAGACTGTTACATGAATTAATCCTACCGAAAGATCACAACATTGTTGGGACAGGGTGCGCATGACGCTGGGTTTTCCCGATCGTCCCCATTCAAAGTGTTAGAGCGGAGACTCCCAGACACACACTCAAAGAAAACAACAACACATCTTTACGATGTTTAGTCATTTGAAGATAGTTTCTACCACAATAGTTCACATGTGGTGGGATGGCTTGCTGTGGGCGGGTATCACGTGATTTTATGTTCATTTTTTTTTTAAATTACCATGTGTAAATTAAAGTAAGTAAAGTTCCCTTTCAAACCTGACGATCTACGGCATATGAAAGGATCAGCACTACGCGTGAGTTAGGTACCCATCAGAGCTGGGTAGACTCAGGGACGGTCTACTGACTTGAACCCGGATTCGAACTCGAGACTAACGGGTTAGCAGTCCAGGTCTCTACCGCAAGGCCACACCGTCCCCCAATTACCATATGATATGGTTCATATTTTTAAATCTAAAAGCGACTATGTTATGTGATATAACTTCAATATTCGCAGGTTACTTATCACTGAAAACAAAGCAGATTAATGATTCCGGGAGCCTGACAGGGTAGAGGAAGTAGAGTTTGTCTCTGAATTTAATGTAGGCTAATGCACCGCCCATACAGCAATAGATGATATACTTGTCAGAGCTCCATGTTCGTGTTGCTGACATTGTTACACCATTTCTTAACCTAACCAAATCATTATCCGGATGGTTAACTTAAGGATATTGAAATTAGGTTAAGGCGTATGGTAGGGCAAAGGTAGTGTTTAGGGTTAGGGCTAGCATTGACATTTAACAAGTTGTTTAGTTAACTACCTGTAACATAACCACCCTTTATAAAGAAGATTCTATTATTGTGCCATTATCTGACACTGGTATAAGAAATTCACCCAGTATGCCAGCCGTATGGCCCATATCGAAACGTGCTTAAGTCCGCGAATATGTTAATAAGGCTAATCGTCGATGACGGGCACTAAGCTGCCATTTTGATTTGTTTCTATGGACACCAGTTGTGTTTCTTACCTGTGCTTGTGAATATGCCATATTTATCTGGGTATGTGTAGATATGGACAAATAACATGTCTTATTTACCTGTGTATGTGGAGTTGTGGCCATACAGCATGTCTTATTTACCTGTATTAATGGAAAGCTTTATGGAAGTTTTATTTACCTTATCTGTGGTCTTTACCCACTGTATCTGTTGACAGACTTGCTTGATCAGTATAATCCAAGTTAAACGACGTGGCTTTATGAAAGCAGCTAAACATAAAGGTGGATTAAGATACCCTAGTCAAAACACCATTCACTTCTATCTGATGTTTACTGTGAGATTAATGTGGTGTTAGCGTGCTGGTGTGAGTTGAGTGTGCTAGTAATGTTGGCGTGCTCCGCTAGGGGGGGGGGGAGGTGAATAGTGCTCACAATAGGTTAGTACCTGCGTAGGTCACTATTGATAACTTACAGATAGCACACAAATCAACATACACGATTAAATGATCTTTGTTTTTGTCGGTGGGTGTAGAATTAATGTTAAGAAGTCATACCCGTACGTTAAGTCTAACCATACAAATATGTTAAGAAGCCGTACCAACATATTCGAATTTCTCGAAACTTTAACATGATTGATACTTTATTTCCAAACAAACAAAAAAATAACGTCCTAAGTCCTAACAAGATTAGGAATAACCACAACACCTAGACCTACTCATTAGAAAATAGACTAGTGTTCATCCATCCATAAACGACGTCTCGCTTTTTAAAGGATTTTCCCTCACCCCCCCCCCCTTCCATCGTTAGACATCAGCACAAAAAGCCAAATGCCCACCCTCTCCCCCTAAAATGACGAAAAACGTCAGCCTACCATCATTACAATTACCACAGCGATCTCGTTCTAAAACATTTACCAAGCTCCGTCTATGTTTTTTACAAATTACAAAGTCTTTTTAAAACGCTGAAATCCCGGTTCTAACATTACTTTTTAAATTACAAAAGTGTGTAGTCTAACTTTCTGATTGGCCCTCGAACCCTCCCAATCGTTAACCTGAGTGTGATGTCGTTTTGCCGCCCACACAGCGCTGAAGTGATGTCCGTGCTGTGTTGACCACAGAATGCCGACCTCAAGTCAAGCTCTCGGGTATAGGAAAAGTTACCATGTCAAGGACGAGAGGCAGCTCAACAAAGCCGAATGTGATGTCATGTCGGGTGATGTCATATGTGATGTCACGTCGGGCGATGTCAGAAGTGATGTCATGTCGGGTGATGTCAATGTTGACGGTGTGTCAAAGGATTGTGGCATCGAACGGCTGGACCTGGGACAGTTGGTAATGTAGCACGTGGTATATGTAGCCCTTTAATTTAGCACGTGGTATATGTAGCCCTTTAATGTAGCACGTGGTATATGTAGCCCTTTAATGTAGCACGTAATATATGTAGCCCTTTAATGTAGCACGTGATATATGTAGCCCTTTAATGTAGCATGTGATCTATGTAGCCCTTTAATTTAGCACGTGATATATGTAGCCCTTTAATTTAGCACGTGGTATATGTAGCCCTTTAATGTAGCACGTGATATATGTAGCCCTTTAATGTAGCATGTGATCTATGTAGCCCTTTAATTTAGCACGTGATATATGTAGCCCTTTAATTTAGCACGTGGTATATGTAGCCCTTTAATGTAGCACGTGATATATGTAGCCCTTTAATGTAGCACGTGATCTATGTAGCCCTTTAATGTAGCACGTGATCTATGTAGCCCTTTAATGTAGCACGTGATCTATGTAGCCCTTTAATGTAGCACGTGATATATGTAGCCCTTTAATGTAGCACGTGATCTATGTAGCCCTTTAATGTAGCACGTGATCTATGTAGCCCTTTAATGTAGCACGTGATCTATGTAGCCCTTTAATGTAGCACGTGATCTATGTAGCCCTTTAATGTAGCACGTGATCTATGTAGCCCTTTAATGTAGCACGTGATCTATGTAGCCCTTTAATGTAGCACGTGATCTATGTAGCCCTTTAATGTAGCACGTGATCTATGTAGCCCTTTAATGTAGCACGTCGTATATGTAGCCTTTTAATGTAGCACGTGATCTATGTAGCCCTTTAATGTAGCACGTGATCTATGTAGCCCTTTAATGTAGCACGTGATCTATGTAGCCCTTTAATGTAGCACCTGATCTATGTAGCCCTTTAATGTAGCACGTGATCTATGCAGCCCTTTAATGTAGCACGTGATATATGCAGCCCTTTAATGTAGCACGTGATATATGCAGCCCTTTAATGTAGCACGTGATATATGTAGCCCTTGTGTGGTAATGTAGCACGTGATATATGTAGCCCTTGTGTGGTAATGTAGCACGTGATATATGTAGCCCTTTAATGTAGCACGTCGTATATGTAGCCCTTTAATGTAGCACGTCGTATATGTAGCCCTTTAATGTAGTACGTGATATATGTAGCCCTTTAATGTAGCACGTGATATATGTAGCCCTTGTGTGGTAATGTAGCACGTGATATATGTAGCCCTTTAATGTAGCACGTCGTATATGTAGCCCTTTAATGTAGTACGTGATATATGTAGCCCTTTAATGTAGCACGTGATATATGTAGCCCTTGTGTGGTAATGTAGCACGTGATATATGCAGCCCTTGTGTGGTAATGTAGCACGTGATATATGTAGCCCTTGTGTGGTAATGTAGCACGTGATATATGTAGCCCTTTAATGTAGCACGTCGTATATGTAGCCCTTTAATGTAGTACGTGATATATGTAGCCCTTTAATGTAGCACGTGATATATGTAGCCCTTGTGTGGTAATGTAGCAAGTGATATATGCAGCCCTTTAATGTAGCACGTGATATATGTAGCCGTTTAATGTAGCACGTGATATATGTAGCCGTTTAATGTAGCACGTGATCCTTGTTGCCCTTAAATGTAGCACGTGATCTATGTAGCCCTTGTGTGGTAATGTAGCACGTGATCTATGTAGCCCTTGTGTGGTAATGTAGCCCGTGATCTATGTAGCCCTTGTGTGGTAATGTAGCACGTGATCTATGTAGCCCTAGCCTCTAAAATGTCACCCCACTGTTGTCTCGACATGTTGAACATGTCATCTCCCTGCTGTCTTGGCAGGCTGACGAAGATGCTGTCACGCCGAGACAAGAGACAGACAACAACACCTCCAGACAGCAGACAGCAAGGACCAGCCTGGTGATTTCCCTGCCCTCCATTTTGAGCAGACCCGACCGACACCACTACAGGTCAGCGCTACCAGTTGACACACCTTGGTCGTAGCCCACTTTATGTTCTCTGTTCTAGCTCCAGCAAGCGAGATGTAACTGACATTATGTTCTCTGTTCTAGCTCCAGCAAGCGAGATGTAACTGACATTATGTTCTCTGTTCTAGCTTAGCAAGCGAGATGTAACTGACATTATGTTCTCTGTTCTAGCTCCAGCAAGCGAGATGTAACTGACATTATGTTCTCTGTTCTACCCCCAGCAAGCGAGATGTAACTGACATTATGTTCTCTGTTCTAGCTCCAGCAAGCGAGATGTAACTGACATTATGTTCTCTGTTCTACCTCCAGCAAGCGAGATGTAACTGACATTATGTTCTCTGTTCTAGCTCCAGCAAGCAAGATGTAACTGACATTATGTTCTCTGTTCTAGCTCCAGCAAGCGAGATGTAACTGACATTATGTTCTCTGTTCTAGCTCCAGCAAGCGAGATGTAACTGACATTATGTTCTCTGTTCTAGCTCCAGCAAGCGAGATGTAACTGACATTATGTTCTCTGTTCTAGCTCCAGCAAGCGAGATGTAACTGACATTATGTTCTCTGTTCTAGCTCCAGCAAGCGAGATGTAACTGACATTATGTTCTCTGTTCTACCCCCAGCAAGCGAGATGTAACTGACATTATGTTCTCTGTTCTAGCTCCAGCAAGCGAGATGTAACTGACATTATGTTCTCTGTTCTAGCTCCAGCAAGCGAGATGTAACTGACATTATGTTCTCTGTTCTAGCTCCAGCAAGCAAGATGTAACTGACATTATGTTCTCTGTTCTAGCTCCAGCAAGCGAGATGTAACTGACATTATGTTCTCTGTTCTACCTCCAGCAAGCGAGATGTAACTGACATTATGTTCTCTGTTCTACCCCCAGCAAGCGAGATGTAACTGACATTATGTTCTCTGTTCTACCCCCAGCAAGCGAGATGTAACTGACATTATGTTCTCTGTTCTACCCCCAGCAAGCGAGATGTAACTGACATTATGTTCTCTGTTCTACCTCCAGCAAGCGAGATGTAACTGACATTATGTTCTCTGTTCTACCTCCAGCAAGCAAGATGTAACTGACATTATGTTCTCTGTTCTAGCTTAGCAAGCGAGATGTAACTGACATTATGTTCTCTGTTCTAGCTCCAGCAAGCGAGATGTAACTGACATTATGTTCTCTGTTCTACCTCCAGCAAGCGAGATGTAACTGACATTATGTTCTCTGTTCTAGCTCCAGCAAGCGAGACGTAACTGACATTATGTTCTCTGTTCTAGCTCCAGCAAGCGAGATGTAACTGACATTATGTTCTCTGTTCTAGCTGTCAACAGGAGCGGGGACAGGGGGAGTTCTTTAGTACGGACAGCTCGTCTGTCTGTCTGGCACACAACACGGACAGCTCGTCTGTCTACGAGGCACCCAATACGGACAGCTCATCAGTCTGTCTGGCACCCACCGCAGACCAAACCGCTAGCACGTGCCACACACGTGAGCTGACCACAGGCCGTGACCACCACCACGCTACAGCAGACGCGCCCGTCACGTCCCACCACGACTTCATTGACGAAAACCAGCCGCAGCATTTCCAACAAAGCCGGCACCGGCTTAGTTCCGGCTTCTCCACTGACGACGAGACCCAGATAGTGAGCTGTTACAGCCGGTCTGCGGTTGGCGTCAACTCCGTGAGCGCCGAGTCCCAGACGAGGAGCTCCCTCTTCGGCTCGATGAAGTGCAGCCCTCGCTACGACATCGCGGAAGACATCCATCGAGCTTACGCGGACACCCTAGAGAACCTGAGCCAGCCCACCTGGGACGACGACACGGAGACTGTGTACACACACCAACACGCGTGTCACAGCTTCCACACAGCACACGGAGATCAAAGAACACGGCAGGGAAAACACGTGGAACCATTTCAAGTCAGTTCCCAAAACTCCGGCAAAACAGTACCCGCTGTGAGTGCGACCATGCAGCAATACGTGACGAGCCAGAAGCTTCAGAAGTCCAGCTTAGAGTATTGTTGTATCGACGGCACCGCCATCCACCAGCTGGCCGACTCGTTCTTTAAGTGCAACGTGGACGCCATACGCAAGGCCCTGGGACAGAGCAAGATTCCGGAAAAACCCCGACCCACAAGAAAACAGCAGGTCCCGGCCAAATATTGCATCCTCCCGTCTGAAGAAGCAGGGGATAGGCAAGGGGCGTCATACATTAGTAAGTACACGAACATTTCCTACTTCTCTCCCTTATTTCATCTGCATAATGTTTTGTTTAGCTAACCAAGTCTAAATAAACCGGGAGTAATCTCCCCTAAACTTTCTCGAATATTCTTATGTAACTTGGAGTACAGACATGATTTTTAATTACTTAAACTTTTAAAAATAGAATAGAATCTCATCGAAAAAAGGGATATTATTAATACTTTATAAATTTGCATGCTTTTTGTGAGAAATCGGAAATAGCGTAAATTTGTACTTCCGGTCAACGGAAATTACTCAAAATTTGACAGAAGGTACAGAATTAGATCTTTTACTTACATGTGAAATTTCATTTATCTATCTCAAATAGTACTCAAGTTATAGGCTTTTGAACAATTCAAAGTAGAAAAAGTACCACTTCCGGTTATCGGAAATCGCTCAAAAGTTGATACGGATCTACGATTTTAATAAAATACTTATTTTTGAAATTTCATCAACCGGGCTGTAACGGTACTCAAGTTATCGTGTTTACACACAGACAGACAGACACACACACACACAGACACACAGACATACGGACAAGATTGCAAAATTATGTTTTTCCGTATCAGTTAGGTGTAAAACGTCGAGATTTGTAAAAATCTCGATTTTTTTTTTGCACGATTACAAGACTTTCTCTATACTTCGTATATACGAGAAAGTAAAAATGTATTAACTCGTAGTTATTTAAAGTACTCAAATCAGTGAGAATATAGATGTGTTTGTTATATTTTGCTAAGAGCAACTTTAATAATATTATATACTTCATCTGTGTTAGAAACTTTTTGCTGTTTTTAAAGTGCATGTGTTTGTCCCCATGCTGTATGTGTTTGTCCTCATGTTTGTCCTAGTGTTTGTCCTAGTGTTTGTCCCCATCATGCGTGTTTGTCTTCGTGTTTGCCCACACGCTGCGCGTGTTTGTCCTAGTGTTTGTCCTCGTGTTTGTCCTAGTGTTTGTCCTCGTGTTTGTCCTAGTGTTTGTCCCCATCATGCGTGTGTTTGTCCTAGTGTTTGTCCCCACGCCGTGCATGTTTGTGATCATCATGCGTGTTTGTCCCCATGTTGCGTGTGTTTGTCCTCGTGTTTGTCCTCGTGTTTGCCCCCATGCTGCGTGTTTGTCCTCGTGTTTGTCCTCGTGTTTGTCCTCGTGTTTGTCCCCATCAACTGACCAGGACTCCCTGACCTGCCCCAGGTGTCCACACCTACAACCAGACCACCGGCCGCTACACCTGGAACCTGATACCCTCCCAGCAGAAGCCCAACTACACCGTGGCACCAAACAACCCAGTGACCAGTGGTGCCAGGACCGGGGAAAGGACGCACAAAAACCTGGTTAGTACCGTCAGAAAACGATTCCAGTCTGGTAAGGCTTGGTCTCAAGTAATGTTTGCCCAGTGGCGGCCACAGTTAGGGCAGGCAGTAATGGGGCCCCGGCTTAAGCAGGCAGTGGGGCGCAGTGGGGCCCCGACTAAAGCAGGCAGTGGGGCCCCGGACAAACCAGGGCAGACCAGTAGGGCTCAAGCTAACGTATGGAGATACATGGGGCTATAGCTTACCATTGGGGATCGTTCATGCATATCGAGTGAACACATTACGCACTCAAAAAGATAACTTGTACACCGAAGCCACCACACTCTGTTCAAAGATGTATTTCAATGGGTTGTGTTCGTAAATAGAATCATCATTCGTTACCCGAGTCACTTTAAGTTTAAACAGTATGTTTGTTAACACACTGATTTAATTTACACCACAAGTTATGTTAACAATTCTAGGTAAAATGTTAGCGAGAAAAAAAGAATGTTGCAATGGTAAAATGTATTTTCTCCACAGGACAACTCTACTCTCCCTGCCAGAACCATGGATGGAAGGTCGAGCATCTTCGATCTGGGGCTTCTGTACGGGAGGACGGTGGAGATGGGCAATGTATTGAACGTCAGTGGGATACAGTGTGGTGAGTGGTTGTGGTGGTGTGGTGAATGGGTGTGGTGGTGTGGTGTGTGGTTGGTGTGGTGAGGGGATGGTGTATAGTGTGGGTGGATGGTGTGGTGAGTGGGCAGTTAGTTGAGTTGTTGGACTATCAGACTAAGGATTCATATATATATATATATATATATATATATATATATATATATATATATATATATATATATATATATATATATATATCAGGGAACAGACCCACCAACCGTAAGTTCCACAACGAAAAACTCAACATGCAAGTGACACAAGAGGAGATGGAACAAATGAGACAAGATGCAGAGAACAACACACTGATGTGTCAGGACAACGATTGCAGTCAATGTGAGTATCGATATGCTAGCTTTAACTACTCATGACAACGATTGCAGTCAATGTGAGTATCGATATGCTAGCTTTAAGTACTCACGACAACGTCTGTAGACAATGTGAGTATCGATATGCCAGCTTTAACTACTCATGACAACGATTGCAGTCAATGTGAGTATCGATTTGATAGCTTTAAGTACTCACGACAACGATTGCAGTCAATGTGAGTATCGATATGCTAGCTTTATTCAATCAAATTATCGATACGCTAACTGCATAATATCGATATACTTGTTTGCAATTATTTATCAGTTATTGGCAATGTATTAGTACGATTTTAAATAATATCTAATTAAAATCAATATTTTCTCCGTGTTCCACGTCATTAATATTTGTAGCTTTAAGTTCAGCTAAATGTTTTTTGGTTTGGGGCCAGATATTTGACTTTAAATTCAGCAACGTGTTTTTTCACGATTCACATGTTTTCGAAATTAGACGTGTGTTCCAAAACTTAATAAGTTTCAGTGGAAACCTGTTTCTTCCCTCTCCAGATTATTCTTTGAGTACCAATTTATTTCCCTCACCAGATTGTTCTCTAAGTTCCACCGAGACAGACGACATCACGACAAGAAGCCTGAAACGTGGACTGGCACCTCTCCACCTCGACCAGACTGGGTGGCACGACGTACCCGCCCCAGCCCCGCCTGAAGCTGTGGACGGGGAGAGGGACACGGTGGAGGTCTTCGCCATGCGTTTCGTTGATGAACGGGAAGCCCACATTATGACGTCACCCTGTTCCCCCAAGCAGCGGGACGCCGTGATCTCACCCCAACCCCCAGGAAAACCACGTGACCCAATCCCAACCGAGGCAACCAACTTAAACTTGAACTCCTCCCGCAGACGTTATGATGCTGATGAAAACACTGATCCCACCCTGCACGAGAATAACGACCCCCCAGCCCTGAACCCAAATCATAACACGCGCCATGCAAACCCTGGGCACCAGGGCGGGTTCAAGTGGACGAACCCTGTAGATCCACCCCGCATCGAGCTCAGCAAGACTGAAGGAAAGGGGAAAGCCCCAAGCACGTTCAGCGGACTCTCGCTCGCCCAGAAGAAACTAAAGATGCTCAAGTTAGCCAAATCCATGAAGGCGAAACATATGAAGGAAGTTAACGTTAACAACGGCGGGATCAACGGTTTGACAGAGGTTAACCACGGCAGCGGTGAGTCGGGGGTTAAACTAAGACCGTCCACGAGAGAGGCTAACCACGGCCGGAAGACGACGGACGCTGAGAGCACGCCCACCGCTCGCAAGACGCGCGCCAAGAAGAGCGGGCAAAAGATGTCAGGGTGGAAGAGCCGACACGACGCGACCCTGGGGGAGGTCAGTTTGGACCAGCTCCACTTCGCCATCACCCCCAAGATGCCAGCCATCATCCCCCCTCTCTTAGAGAAGTAAGACATTTTCTCGCACCAATAGCGTAGAGCAGGGGTTCCCAACCTTTTTTTTTTACTCTAGAGCACATTCTAAAATATCGGTAGGGTGGCGGGCACCACCTATTTTAAATCGACAAACTCCTTCCAGAGGCGTGTCGACCCTTCCCGTCACCCGGGGACAAAACTTTCGATTTTGCACCTCCCCCCCCCCCCCCCCCCCCTCAAACATTCGATTTCCATCCCCTTCAACCTTTCAATAATGTTTATGAAAAAAATCTGTCTCTGTCGAATAGTGAGAGGCGGGCACATACGAATCGTTCGGCGGGCGCCGTGGCGCCCGCGGGCACGGGGTTGGTAACCCCTGGCGTAGAGTATGGTAACGACGGGATCTATCCTCATAAGCGACGTAATTTAGGCGAAGTTGAGTGCATATGTTTTTGCGACTTAGGTGTGTACAAGAGCCTGTGTAGGTCATTTAGCCTTCCCCTGGCGTCAGGCACATAGCTAGTTAGGCACGCATGCGAGAGCAATTCTAAAAAAAGAACATCACGTAATTTAGCCACAACTTAACTCCCTACCCCCTCGCGTGTCATATTGTTCCTAATTATAGACCAAGGGAACCATCCACTCCACACGGTCCATCCACTCCACACGGTCCATCCACTCCACACGGTCCATCCACTCCACACGGTCCATCCACTCCACACGGTCCATCCACTCCACACTGCCCATCCACTCCACATGGTCCATCCACTCCGCACGGTCCATCCACTCCACACGGTCCATCCACTCCACACGGTCCATCCACTCCACACGGCCACACGGTCCATCCACTCCACACGGTCCATCCACTCCACACGGCCCATCCACTCCACACGGTCCATCCACTCCACACGGTCCATCCACTCCACACGGTCCATCCACTCCACACTGCCCATCCACTCCACACGGTCCATCCACTCCACACGGTCCATCCACTCCACACGGTCCATCCACTCCACACGGTCCATCCACTCCACACGGCCACACGGTCCATCCACTCCACACGGCCCATCCACTCCACACTGCCCATCCACTCCACACGGTCCATCCACTCCACACGGCCACACGGTCCATCCACTCCACACGGTCCATCCACTCCACACGGCCACACTGCCCATCCACTCCACACGGTCCATCCACTCCACACGGTCCATCCACTCCACACGGTCCATCCACTCCACACGGCCACACGGTCCACAAGAACATCCACTCCACACGGTCCGTACACTCCACACGGTCCATCCACTCCACACGGTCCATCCACTCCACACGGCCACACGGTCCATCCACTCCACACGGTCCATCCACTCCACACGGTCCATCCACTCCACACGGTCCATCCACTCCACACGGTCCATCCACTCCACACGGTCCATCCACTCCACACGGTCCATCCACTCCACACGGTCCATCCACTCCACACGGTCCATCCACTCCACACGGTCCATCCACTCCACACTGCCCATCCACTCCACATGGTCCATCCACTCCACACGGTCCATCCACTCCACACGGTCCATCCACTCCACACGGTCCATCCACTCCACACGGTCCATCCACTCCACACGGTCCATCCACTCCACACGGTCCATCCACTCCACACGGCCACACTGCCCATCCACTCCACACGGTCCATCCACTCCACACGGTCCATCCACCCCACACTGCCCATCCACCCCACACTGCCCATCCACCCCACACTGCCCATCCACTCCACACTGCCCATCCACTCCACAGAAACAGGACCAACAATCTGTCTTCTCACTGTGTCCATTGGAGCGAGGATGACAGCAGCGATTCCTCCGAATCGACTTGCTCCATTCTCAAGCACACGATGCAGAGCTCAGTGCGCATGCGTAAAGAGCTCCCGCCCCTCCAGCCCCGAAAATTGTGTTTCCGGTGCAAAATCTCGAGCTGCAACCACGGTGAGGTCATACAAGAGATTGAGTCACAGACCAATGTCAAGGTCAAGTGGATCCAGTACGACCCGATCAAGGTGCAGGCTTTCAACCTCAAGTTGAGTGAAGGTATGGAGACATCAACTTTTAAGGGGGATGGGGGGATGGGGGGGGGGGTTAGTGTGTGACATCAACTTTTATGGGGGGTGGGGGAGAGTTAGTGTATGACATCAACTTTTATGGGGGGTGGGGGAGAGTTAGTGTATGACATCAACTTTTATGTTTTTCGATAGTAGACATGTTTTTTTAATAGTCTACATCGACTTTAATTTTGTATTATGGGACATCAACGTTTTTGATAGTAGTACATCAAACTTTCTTTTGAAAAAAAAAAACGCATTAATTTATGTAAATTTAAAAAAAAATGGGGTAAAAAATAAATCATAAACGCCCACTCTAACGCTGACGCTAACGTTTCCTTGGGGGTTATGTTGTCATGGCAACGTTTGCACGTGTTGCAGGGCTACAGTACAACTGCCTGTGGATCTTCGAGCTGACAGAGGAATCAGACCGTGACGGCCTCCTGTTCGAGGGCTTCTACCTCCGCGACACGCACATGAACGTCCGCCATCTTGATGACGTGTACAAGGAGGAGTTCATGGCCTACAAGATGTGGTCTGAGATCAACCGCGAGCAACGACAGAAGAAGCTGACGCAACGACACAACTCGAGGGTCAAGGGTTGCAGGGCATAGGCGTACGCAACACTGCTCGCTTTCACGTTCTGTGCTTTCACAAGGATGTGTTCCTCATAAGGATGTGTTCTTTTTGTCTACCCCACAAGGATGTGTTCTTTTTGTCTACCCCACAAGGATGTGTTCTTTTTGTCTACCCCACAAGGATGTGTTCTTTTTGTCTACCCCACAAGGATGTGTTCTTTTTGTCTACCCCACAAGGATGTGTTCTTTTTGTCTACCCCACAAGGATGTGTTCTTTTGGTCTGGCTCACAAGGATGTGTTCTTTTCTTTTGTCTGCTTACAAGGATGTGTTATTTTTGTCTGCATTAAAGGATGTGTTATTTTTATCTACTCCACAAGGATGTATTTTTTTTTGTGTGCTCCAAATCTCCCCATTGCTACAATTGAATTAATTTTTTGTCTTGTGTACAAAATTGATTACGTCACAAGAATATTTTGCTGTTGTGTTTTGTGTCAAACACGCAACTAACTCAATAACTAAACTCCACGTTAACATGATAATGTGCCTTTAATAATCGCTCATTCAAACATCACATTTCTAAAAGTTTTACATAGTTAGATATGGACTATTTCAGAACGTTGCTGCCCCCGTTGCTAAATGAATACTTGGAAAAGTTGGATCAGCAGATTAATAAAGTTCACAATTTTAAACTGTTTGATGTTTTGTTTTGATAGATGAGTTTGAACGCTTACTTATAGTCTAGATTTAAAGAGGGAAATTTAAAATTCCATTATGAAAATACAAGGCGTTAAAATATCATTTTATTTATCATTTTTGTTAAAACTTGTGCTTAATTTTTGTGTGTTTTGTTTTCCTTTTTGTTTTGTCTAACCAAGAGCTATGTCAAAGTCATAGAGAGGTAGATAATTTTTTAATGTGTCAATGCGAATATTTTATTTTTACTTGCTCGTATATACGAAATATAGAGAAAGTCTTGTAATCGCGCAAAAAAAAAATCGAGATTTTTACAAATCTCGACGTTTTACACCTCACTGATACGGAAAAACATAATTTTGCAATCTTGTCCGTATGTCTGTGTGTCTGTGTGTGTGTGTGTCTGTGTGTGTGTGTAAACACGATAACTTGAGTACCGTTACAGCTAGGTTGATGAAATTTCATATATAAGTATTTTATCAAAATCGTAGATCCGTATCAACTTTTGAGCGATTTCCGATAACCGGAAGTGGTACTTTTTCTACTTTAAATTTTTCAAAAGCCTATAACTTGAGTACTATTTCAGATATTAGGTCTCTGTTAGGACTGGTCTTCTGACCGGGATATACGTTCTCAAGGTGTTACATGCTAAACCTAATGGTCAAGTTAATTTCACGTAAAATGTCGTCACGAAGTAATGTTTTTAAAACAGGAAATATTTGAATCGCCAGTTGAATCTTCTGATATTGGCATCCATAGCTGAAGTCACACTGCTCGGGGAGTGGGTGGGGGTTAGTGACGTCATTTTAAAGGAGACGATGTTCGATGCCGGTGGGGTGGGGTCAAAGTCGTCCTTGAATTCGTTTATCCACGACCCTAAGAATTAAAAAAATAATAATAAATAAGACATAACAGACAGGAATCACACTCGGACAATGTCATGTTTCTGTACTTTTAAATAACCCTAAGGTATGGGGGAGGGGGTGTTAGGTTTTTTGGTTTTATGAGTACAGTAAAACAAGGAAGAGAATTGCTTGTGTAAACGCAGATATAAAATATAAAATATTTTACTGGTGTCTTCATATTTGTTTTGGTGGGGGGGGGGGGGGGGGAAGAGGCTATATTATATATCAAGTTATCTTACAGATATCAGCCAAGTGAACATAGAATTAAATGACAACGTGTCGCTTGGGGTTAGTTGTGTTAGTGTGTGGTAGTATGTGGTCGTCTATGGTAGTGTGGACACCGACACACTTGGCTAGAAGTGTCACTGTTGATTCAATTGATGGATTTGCCTAAAATTACTTTTGAATCTTTAACAGAGGAAAGTAGATAAGGTAAGATTTCAACACGTTACAGCGATATATATATATATATATATATATATATATATATATATATGCAGTTTTTACGTATTTCTTTGTAATTGCAAGAGCCTTCAGATATAACGAATGAGCTAAGGGTAATGTTATGGCTGTTTATCGTTTTGAAACTTCGAATTTTCCAAATGGTAAAAATATTTCAATGATGGATTGAGCATGAAAGAATTTTTTCAAAACTCTTATAGTACGAGAAAAATGGCCCGTTGAGGAAGGATACACCGGGCGCTAGGTTGATAGTGCTGTCTCTTTTCTCTAAACTAAAACCAACCCACCCCCCCACACACACACCACCCCCACCCCCACCCCTCCCACCCCCACCCACCCCACACACCACCCCCCCCCAACCCCCCCCCCCCCCCACCCCCATCCCCAAAAAAACATGTCTACCGTCCCATTCAACGAAATATAATTATATACTTTTTCCAGTGTCCGCCCCCCTCCCCGAAAATTCTACCCCCGCCCCCGAAAATTTCAAGTACCCCCACCCCTCTCCGGGGAGGAAAAAGTCTGAAAGAAACACTGGTGTCGCGCTTAGCCACTACGCGAAGAATTTCATTAAAGAAATTGCGAGAAAACCACTTTTTAGATTAGACACATTAATTAGGCGGTAATTTTATTATAGAGTATCGATGAGGAAACCACCCCACCCCACCCCCCCCCCACACACACACACCACCACCCCCCCACCCCCCTACCCCCCACCCCCCACTCCCAAAAAAATCATGTCTACCGTCCCATTCAACGAAATATAATTATATACCTTTTCCAGTGTCCGCCCCCCTTCCCGAAAATTCTACCCCCGCCCCCGAAAATTTCAATTACCCCCACCCCTCTCCGGGGAGGAAAAAGTCTGAAAGAAACACTGGTGTCGCGCTTAGCCACTACCCGAAGAATTGCATTAAAGAAATTGCAAGAAAACCACTTTTTAGATTAGAAACATTAATTAGGCGGTAATTTTATTATAGAGTATCGATGAACGATGAAGAAATTTCTTTTGAGTTGGGGAGGGGGGGGGGGGCTCAGACGTTCCTACGCGTGGGGTGGGGCTTCGCCCCTACCCGAAGAATTGTATGCAAGAAACTCTTCACGCAAACCATTTAGATTAGACAACATTTCCTTTTTATTCAATGTTTACGCGATAATCAATGACGTCATTATATTACTGTGTGCACTTTCCGCCGTGAGATTATTTTCAACTCTATGCTAAATGTGTCGACGTCATACTTCGTCTTTCGTTTCACTGTGAGAGTTTTTAATTTCCTTGTGTTTTCTCTAGAGCGTTCTTGTCAGACAGAGCGTTCTTGTCAGATACACAGACAGACAGCGAAACTATTATTATAGATAAATAAAACAGAATAGCTACCATCCAAAAAGAACAACATGCCGCATTTAAAAAAAAAACAACATTAAATACAAAAAGTATCATCATATACAATAATGTGCCAAAACTAATCGCAATAGCTACCATCATACAAACATCAGGCAAAAAAAGTCCTACCATCATATACGAACATCAGGCAAAAAGGTCTAAAATAACATACAATCATGTGCCATTAAATACAAATTATTTGACCCTCTGACGCAAGAGATGTGCACTAGTAAGATCCAGGATAACAGGATATAATTTATTATCCTAGTACAAAAAAACCACTTGTTGTTTGAGATACCAATCTTGTCGAGCCACTCTACAGTTAAACCGGACATCATTTTTTCTGGGAATTATAAACCCACACAACAGATCTCTCCTTCAAAGTCACGTGATGGGTTTGTGAACATTTTCTTTTATCCATCTGCAACGAGTAAGTAAATATTTGCATCACAGCTTTTGTTATTCGGTTAATTGAGGTCAAAAGTTTTTGAAAGACCAAAACAGTGGTCCAAATTTCACTCAGTAAAAAATGTCGTATGAAAAGTAAGAATAAGGTCATGTTCCGCCATGTTTCTTGAAATTATGGGATTCCGTCCGGACATTTTTATTTGTTGCGAGAAATATTGTTGTATATCCGAGTATAGGACGTATGTACTCCGAGTATTTCACTGTTATTAATTTAGATATCACTACGTTTGTCGTAAATATTTTTAAGGTTGTAAATATTTCCTTCTCGAGGTGCCTGACTGGTCAATAGGGTAGAAGATCTTCCCTGGGGGTGAAAATACGGCACACTTGGGGATATGAGGCTTTACTTCCAGTTTATGGATCTGGTTTTATCATTAGGTGAAGTTTATGAATCTGGTTTTACAGCTAGGTAAAATTTATGAATCTTGTTTTATCACTAGGTGAAGTTTATGAATCTGGTTTTATCATTAGGTGAAGTTTATGAATCTGGTTTTATCACTAGGTGAAGTTTATGAATCTAGTTTTATCACTAGGTGAAGTTTATGAATCTGGTTTTATAGCTAGGTGAAGTTTATGAATCTGGTTTTATCATTAGGTGAAGTTTATGAATCTGGTTTTATAGATAGGTGAAATTTATGAATCTGTTTTATTGCTAGGTGAAGTTTATGAACGTTTTTATCATCAGGTGAAGCTTATGAATCTGGTTTTACAGCTAGGTAAAATTTATGAATCTTGTTTTATCACTAGGTGAAGTTTATGAATCTGGTTTTATCATTAGGTGAAGTTTATGAATCTGGTTTTATCATTAGGTGAAGTTTATGAATCTGGTTTTAAAGCTAGTTGAAGTTTATGATTCTGGTTTTATCATTAAGTTAAGTTTATGAATCTGGTTTTATCACTAGGTGAAGTTTATGAATCTGGTTTTATCTTTAGGTGAAGTTTATGAATCTGGTTTTATAGCTAGGTGAAGTTTATGAATCTGATTTTATTGCTAGGTGAAGTTTATGAATCTGTTTTATCAGTAGGGGAAGTTTATGAATCTGTTTTATCAGTAGGGGAAGTTTATGAATCTGGTTTTATAGCTAGGTGAAGTTTATGAATCTGATTTTATTGCTAGGTGAAGTTTATGAATCTGTTTTATCAGTAGGGGAAGTTTATGAATCTGTTTTATCAGTAGGTGAAGTTTATGAATCTGGTTTTATCATTAGGTTAAGTTTATGAATCTGGTTTTATCACTAGGTGAAGTTTATGAATCTGGTTTTATCACTAGGTGAAGTTTATGAATCTGGTTTTATCTTTAGGTGAAGTTTATGAATCTGGTTTTATAGCTAGGTGAAGTTTATGAATCTGATTTTATTGCTAAGTGAAGTTTATGAATCTGTTTTATCAGTAGGGGAAGTTTATGAATCTGTTTTATCACTAGGTGAAGCTTATGAATCTGGTTTTACATCTAGGTGAAGTTTATGAATCTGGTTTTTATCATTAGGTGAAGTTAATGAATCTGGTTTTATTGCTAGGCGAAGTTTATGAATCTGGTTGTATTGCTAAGTGAAGTTTATGAATCTGGTTTTATTGCTAGGTGAAGTTTATGAATCTGATTTATTGCTAGGTGAAGTTTATGAATCTGGTTTTATAGATAGGTGAAATTTATGAATCTGTTTTATTGCTAGGTGAAGTTTATGAATGTTTTTCTCATCAGGTGAAGCTTATGAATCTGGTTTTACAGCTAGGTAAAATTTATGAATCTTGTTTTATCACTAGGTGAAGTTTATGAATCTGGTTTTATCATTAGGTGAAGTTTATGAATCTGGTTTTATCACTAGGTGAAGTTTATGA